TCTTCTCCTAGACACAAATAGGGGAATCCAAGCTACTCTAGCTTTTATTCAAGAAACTAAAGTAGGCACGCGAAAGTGGTACCTACAGCAAACAACAGACAACTAATTTCCTTTGTCTATAACTAGAGCAGAGGCTCTCACTATATGTCTACGAACCTATATATACTATTCCCTTATACAGAAAAAACTTGTAAATTACTAGAGCAGCCTCACTGCTCTCGTCCTATATAGTCTTAGACTCACACAGGACGTTAAACTAATCAATCAATCAATCAATCAATCAATAAACTCTAGGCCTACTCTATAAAAGCAAAGCTTAGGAATCCTAGCACCTACGCAGCAAGATTCTTGCTAAAGCTAACAAGCAAGATAACACTACTAAAAAACACTAGAAGAGAAATTGTAAGCGCATACTACTAGCTAAAGCTTGGACATAGATACAACAAAGCATATCTATACAATATATAAAAAACAGAAAGCTCTAAATGCAGCTGTGGATATACACAAACACCTTAACACCTACTGCTTAGCTGTAGAAACTACAGAGAAGCAAGAAAGAAAATAAAGAGCAGCCTACAGGAGACATGACTTATAATGTATCTTCTCCTAGATACAAACAGGGGAATCTAAGCTACACTAGCTTTTATTTAAGAAACTAAAGTAGGCACACGCAAGTAGTACCTACAGCAAACAATAGACAACTAATTTCCTTTGTTTATAACTAGAGCACAGGCTCTTACTATATGTCTACAAACCTATATATACTATTCCCTTACACAGACAAAACTTGTAAATTACTAGAGCAGCCTCACTGCTCTCGTCCTATATAGTCTTAGACTCACACAGGACGTTAAACTAATCAATCAATCAATCAAGGCAAGGAAGCAGGTACGCACTAAAGTAGGTAAGCCTTCCTAAAGGCGCTATAGATAGTGTAGTAAGACTAGGCATAACGCGCAAACGTGTAAGAAAGAGGTAACGTACCTCACGGGCGAGTGGAACACCGAGCGAGTGGAACACTTTTGCCAAGCCCCCACCAAAGCCCACCCTATTATGACCCAAAACACCACAAAACGGCGCTGCACAAGGCAAAACAAGCTGTAATATTACTTAGAGACTACTTCTATATTAGTCTTGCACGTTCGCGCGTTATGTCTAGTCTTACTACACTGTCCACAGCGCCTTTAGGTTGGCTCAGCCCTATCAGAGCGCACCTGCTTCTTTGCCTTCTTACTATCACTACGCGCCCTAAACTCTGTTAGAGCTGTTAATTGCTAGCCCTCCTTAACTATTAGGGTCTCTTCTACCTAAACTTACTTTCTTTTGTGTAATTTCTGTTGTGTAGCTGCCTTATTTGCTGCTTGAAGCTCGGCAATCTCCTGTTGCGCCAAAACCAGCTTGTGCGTGACTATTGCTGCACCCTTAATGTAATGCTTAAGCGCGCTTGTTGTGGAATTTGGTGAGCTACCCTGGTATTTCTTGAACTTGTCTTGAATTAGTAGATTGTAAGTTAAATTCTAGGGTATTGCTTGGGGTTTGCGACTGCTAGGGCTTGTTGTTAACAGGTAGTGGTGGTAATAGCGTGCGCAGCTTCACATTAAGGCTGCTTATAACCTATTGTGGGTTAAATAGGACTAGTCTAGCGCCTTAGAACCCTCCCTAAATGTTGCTAGAAATAATTGCAGTGTTGTAGGCGCGTATAAAGCATAGTAGGAACTCTAGCTTTGTGATATAGTTAATCTAGTTACGTATAACGTATTCCACCACCCAACAGCTCAAACCACCCAACAGCTCAAAATGTCTTGGCACAACCAACACTAGTTACAAATTTCTATTTTCATCGCTATTATACAAGGAGCCTGCGTACGCTGTACTAACCTCTGATTCAGAAGTCTCCTCTACATCCTTTTTACACGTTCGCGCGTTGTGCCCAGTCTTGCCGCAGTTCCCACAGCGCCGTAAAGCTGGTTGGGCTCTCTCTTGATCACCACCACGACGAGCCTTCTTCGACCGCTCAGCGGCTATAGAGGCCTCTGCGGCCACCTGGGCTGCTGCCTCACCATACTCCATTGTGCCGCCATGCTGGATCCGCTTCCTTTTGCGCGATTTCCTTTTGGTCATCACTGCTAATTGCTCTTCAAGCTCAGTAATCCGGGCTGCTTGAAGCGCGTTCTGATGCAGCATAAGCTCGCCGCCTCTAATAAGCTGAGAGAAGCCTGCCTGCGCAGTAATAGGAGAACGTGTAAAGGACTCGCGTACAAGCTTTGATTGCGATCCAAACTCATGTGTATTGCTTGGAGTCTTTGACTGCCACAGCGTCTCTGGGAGGAGGGGTTCTGGCGGGGTACGCAGCTGCACTTTAAGGCGATCTAATACAACCTACGCGTTAAGAGGGACAAGTCCTGATGCCTTAAAGGCCTTGCGACAGATTACCTCTGTAAACACGTTGCAAAACGCGTCTTTAAAGGCTGGTAGGAAGCCTTCTTTGTTGATGTGGAAGACGCGCTTGCGTGCCAAGTCTCGTACGCGCTGAGAGTACTTGCGCTTCAACAGCAAGAAGCAGACCACATCAAGCGGCTGGAGGATGTGCGACGAGTGAGGTGGCATGCAGAGGGTGAGGATCTTATGTTCAAGGCAGTAGTCCTTGAAATCCTGGTTGAGGTGGCTCTCATGGCCGTCCAAAATGAGCAGCCTGTACGCCCCTACCTGGCCCGCCTTTGTATGCGCGTCAAAGTGCTTCAACCACTCTAGACTGAGCGCATTGTTCGTCCAGCCGTTCTGAGAGACTGAGAGCTTCCAATTGCGCGGTATATCTGCCTCCTCGTACCAGGCAGAGATGTGAACGCGTCCTTTGTAGATGATAAAAGGCAGGGTACAAGATCTAGCAGCGCAGACGCTCTGGATGACTGTTACCCATTCGCGATCACCTGGCTGAACGAGCTCAGGCCGAGTACGCCTCTCTGCGCCTGTGACAACCTTTATTGAGCTAATGACACCTATCTAGAAGCCAGTCTTGTTAAAGTTGTGCACGTTGTAGTCGTGTACGCTGTACTTGGCTCTAGTGTCCTCTACCAGCTTAAACCACGCGCCAATTGTCTCTGGATCCTCCTGCAGTATCCTCTGCCTATCTTTAGCTCGATTGAAGGCCATCTTAAGCTCAGCTGAGCGCGTTACAAAGCGCTCAGCCCAGTGCTTGCCAACCGGCTGCCCACCGCGTACACCCAACACTTTATCAGCCATATCTGCTACCTCGCACAGCCGGGGCGCGAATCCTCGCGAATCCAGGTTAAGGATATATTGGACGATCGTTTGCTCTTCCGTAAGCGTAAGTTTGCGGCTGTTGGGTGCTCATTTAAGGATAAACAGGGCTCCTCTGACGCGTGCAGAGAGAATGTGTTGTTTAACGTTAAAAGCGCGCGCAGCTGCTCTCTGGCTTTTAAATTGTTTTAAATGAAGAGCTTTAAGGGCAAGGTCAACTCTACCTTCGTGTTCACGTAGTAACGCGTTATGTGGTTGAGGCATGTTGCAACAAAGAGGGTGTTCGTTGTGCCAAGACATTTTGAGCTGTTGGGTGGTTTGAGCTGTTGGGTGGTGGAATACGTTAAGTATTTTAGCTTAGCGCCTATACGCCTTCTTTAAAGCAGTAAAACAAGCCACATTAAGAGGCTGTGTAAGATGTAATAAGCAGGGAGGCAAATAGAGAGCAATTATCTTGTTATCCTTGCAGTACTGCTAGAATTTAAGAGAGTTATAGCTCTTATAACTATTAATAATAAGCAAATAGTAGGTGCTAATAGTATGCTCCTTTGTATGCCTGTTAAAGTGGTTTATCTAGTCTAGACTAAGCTTGTTAGTAGTCTAGCTGTTATTAGAGACTCTAATAACCTAGTCTTAAGGCAGATCCTCTTCTTTATACTAGGTAGAGAGGTAGTAGTAGGCCTTAAAGATAAGGAAGGTAGGAATAGCCTATCCTTTAGCATTAATGCCTACTATAGCTGTAGCCCACTCCTAGTTGCCTAGCTGGACTGCCTTTGGCTAACCTCATTGTTCTAAAGCTGTAATAACTGCTCTTTAGGAGATCTAGCCTATTATAAAGCCTGTCTTGTTAAAGTTGTACGTGTCTTTATCCTAGATGCTATACTTGGCTTTAGTGTTGGCTACTAGGCTAAACCAGCCCTGCAGAACCTTAGGATCTTTACAGAGGGCTCTCTTGTAGTTGTACTTGCAATTAAACTTGACTTTAAGCTCTAGGTGTTGCTTAACAAACGTACTAGGCTAGTTTGCGCTAACAGGGCCTAGATTACGCTCAGCGCGCAAGGAATTGGCCATAGTAGCCACATCTGAGAGCTGAGGGGAAAATCCTTGCGCATCTAGCTTAAAAATATATTTAACAATCACCTTCTCCTTATTGTTGTCCAGCTTCTATAAGTTAGCTGTAATATTAGCGCGTGAAGGTTGTCCTGCGCGTTGTCTACTTAGTGTAGCTTGAGGAACCCTGTAGATAGTAGCAGCGCGTTGCAGGGAAAGAGTTGCGTCTTATTGAAGAGCTTAAAGCGCAAGCTGTATCTGAGCTTCGTTTAACACGTCTAAATAGTGGTGTTGAGAAGGCATTAGTATGTAAAGGGTGGTTTGGTGGGGGCTTGGCAAAAGTGTTCCACTCGCTCGGTGTTCCACTCGCCCGTGAGGTACGTTAGAAGTAGTTTCTAAATAATATTACAGGCTGTACTACAGTTTGTAGCGCTAATTTAGGTTGTTTTAGGCCATAATGGGGTGGAGTTTAGTGGGGGCTTGGTAAAAGTGGTCCACTTGTCCAGTGGTCCACTCGTCCGTGGGGTACGTTATATATTCTGCTCATTCAGCACCGTAGATAGAACAAGGAACTTGATCACTTTCTTCACACTTGATCAACGATCAGAGACTGCTCAGCTTTCACACCTTCGCATTGGGATTTGTGCTAGCTGTCATAGCTAGGAGTGAGACGGAGGTAATGATTCACGAGTCTTCGTGAGGTACGGTTGTTAGAGCGGTCTGTGAGGCGTGCGGAGGGTGTGGCGGTTGTGGAGTTTTAATGGAACCTGCAGCGCCTCAAATATGCGTTCCTCACCCACACAGAGCGTCATGCAGTATCGAAGTTATGAACGTGTGAATGATGATTTATGCGATGGCCTCAAGGGCGAGTGTATGTGCTGACACAAGTCAGAGCAGGTACAATAAGCAAAGTGGTATATGAATGCAGCCCAAAACGCCTCGAGGTACATCCCGCGGTTCATGCAAAGCACCAAAAGCCCCCTCGGCCATGATAGCCCTACAATCAGCTGACGTCGCTGCTGAAGCCCAGCACTTCAACCAGGACGTTGATCGCGGTGCTCACTACCCACGTCGCAAGGAGACCCCACCCGATCCACTTGTCCATCCTCCACTTCCTCACCGGCACCGCAACAAGCAAGCCCGCGAGCGTGACCAGTAGACTGGCGCCACTGATGACCAGCGTCGTAGACACTGCGATGTGATAAGGCTTGAAATGCAGCGGTTCGTCGGGGTGCTTCTCGTGCTTGTGTTCTCCCTTGGTGAGAATCATGTACGTGCCACTCAATCCAATGCCGAGGAGAATGTTGAGCATTGGACCGCCGAAACACGCGCTGAGGGCCATGACGGGGAATCCGAGGCGCGCGACCGTGATGTCGGCGACGAGGTCGCCGAGCGAGTTGCCCACGGCGAAGATGGTGAGGCCCAAAATGGCATCGGACATGTTGAGGACAACGCCGAGCGTGCGCAATACGCCGACGACTTCGTTCGCAATCGTGCTGATCCAGGCAATCGCCACGGCGAACCCGAGGAAGCAAAGCAATTGGCGCCAGCGCGGGGGCCGGTTCGGTGTTGTCGTGAGCAGGATAAAGGCGAGCATGATGAGGGAGGCAATGAGCGAGTACATCGTCTGCCGAAGGAGGGCGCGTGGGTTATTGGGTTCGACGTTCGCCCAGATCACTAGGATGACGAAGAAGGGAGCCGTGAAGACTTGCATGATGACGAGCCAGCGGTTCCATTGCTTGGGCTCTGTTGACGGGTGGGGGTGGGCGGAGAGAGGGTTCTCGGGTATCTCTTCAGGTGAATTCATCACGTCTGCCTCGGTGGTGACGAAGAGCAGCGGCGGCGCAGAGACCGTGGTATTGTTGGAAAGATAGGATGTGCCGTTCGGGTTCGACGCTTTTGACAGCTTCGCAGGATCGGTGCCGGCGCGACTCAGGGATGCAGAGCCGTCGAGACGAAACTGAGGGTCAAAGGTACCGCCGACAGGCGTCAGGGCCGGTGGAAGACCAAAATCTGGATGGCCTTGACCAGGTTGTTGGTCATCGTCATTGCTTGCTGGCTCGACGACAGGCAAGGTGATTGTCAGCAGAAGCACGGGTAATGCAGCTACAAGGCCCAACAGCTTGTCCCAGATGTTCTTATCACGCCAGCTGGTCAGAGTTGGAAATAGTGTGGACAGAAATACATGTGGCGCTGGCAGGATCGAAGACGGCCACCATCTTGGAGTGCGAGCAACATCGTAAACGCCGAAGAGACTTTCATTATGAAAGGCAGACTCGGGTGATGCGCTCGGAGAGGGGAGACGCAGACTTGGTGCCCGAGACGAACTATGTGCTGACCACGGAAAGTCTGTGTATGCGGGAAATGGAATTGGCGGCGATGCAGCACCGGGGACGGTCAGCTTCAAGTTTGGCGGCGCAGGACGATCACCAGCATTGATGACTGGTGACGAAAGGGGGCTCGGGGTGGACTGTCCTGAGCGGTACGAAAGACCCTGAGAGTCGAGGCCAGGAGGAGCTAGGAGGTCAGGGTGGCCTCGACTTCTGGAGGGTGCTGGACTTTGTGCCCGCGATGACCCCTGGGATCGTGGTGGCGACAGCGAGATGCTAGGCGAGAGAGGCGCCTCACCGGCTTGAGGGAACATGCTGTCACGGAAGTCGGGAGTAGCTGGTGCGAAGCTGATATGTGGTAGATTGCCTTGTATAGTGCTGGGCTGTAGGCGGACGATGTCGAGATCGTTCGTAGAGACGGCTCTGGTACGGCTCATGTTCTGCTGCACCTCCAGTACTGGCCTGACTGTGCTCGGCGACTTTCCGGACGAGGCTGACGCAACATCGAAAGGTGGCCGAGGCGCAGGGTCAGACGTCGTAGAGATTAAGTCCTGCTGTTGCGCCGTCGTATAGGTGGGATCGTCCGAGTAACGTCGCAGGCTGATAGGCATGGACTGAATGTTCCTAGACTTCTGCAGCGAGGACAGCACAGCCCTGAATTCCAACGCTCCCACCAAACTGGGTCGAATGGCAGTCTGAGTCGGTCGACGTTGCCCCAGCTGCGGGCGACTGACGCGCATGTTGTTCGTCATCTCTCCCATCCAGCGCTCGCGCTCCTCTTCGTTCTCGTCTGCATCTATGCCGTCATTTTCGCCTGCACGTTCGAGCGCGTTCAAGTCGTCAATCGAGACGCCCCGAGACGGCGTTCTAGAATTGGAAGGAGGCGCATCGTCATCATCGAAATACTGGGGGATCTCCTCCTCCTCGCCTCCAGGGGTCACGAAGTGACTGCGACTGTTCATGTTTTTGAGTCTCCGGACCTTGCGTTGGTTGAGCCACCAATGCCAGGCAACAACGAATGCGACGTAGAACAGGTAGAAAGCCACCATGGATACAGCCTCCCACAGGTGGAGCTTGCCGTCCACGATGAAGCCCATGCTGAACCCTGCCGCGACGATGAAGAAGCCCACGTCGCGGACAAAGCTCTTGCGGGCGACGTTGAAGGGGCGGATCAGGGCCATAGATCCTGAGACCACTGCAGCGATGAAGCTGGCGGCGCCGATGAGCTCGCCCACGGCCAGACTCGCAGCATGCGTACGGAAGGCCGCAAAGGTCGAGAAGACGTCTGGACTGCCATTGCCAAACGCCAGCAGTGTCACGCCCGCCAGACTCTCGCTCATGCCCAGCATGCTCGCGATGGTGTTCAGGTTGACGCAGAAGAAGTCGCTGGCGGCGATGCCAATGGTGCTGAAGAGCAGGGCGAGCCACAGAGTCATTATGGTGAAGGCGAATGGTTTGGCGTGGGGCAGGCGGCAGTAGTAGAGCGTGAGGTAGGAGACGACGCCGGCCTCTTCGTCGGGGCAGTTGGCGAGGACGAAGGCGCATTGGTCGTGCGCATGGTGGACGAGGCGGCACTCTTCATCAAGAACTGTTACGTCTCTCTTGCGCAGCAGCACGCTGGCCGGTGCCGCTCCACGCTGCTCTTTGGCCCACGCGAGCAGCGTGATCAGACCGATGGCGAGTATCGTGAGCGCAAAGGGACGCGCCGAGTATTTGGTGCGGCGCCATCGCTGCACCGTGTCCAAGATGGAGCGCTCGTTCATTGTCATGACATTGTGCTGCATGCGCGCGGGTACCTGAAGGGGCGCGTCCGATCTTGTGCGCAGGGTCTCGGTCGGTGCCTCCCGCGGTCGAGCTGGTGCGCAGGCGTCACAGTGCGGAGGGTGAAGCGTGAGGGCTTGCAGATGGGCGGGACAGAGAGGCGCGATTAAGAATAGTGTGCAGTGAATAGCCAGGTGGTGTGGACGGCCATGCGCCGCGATCAAGAATAGTGTGCAGTGAACGGCCAGATGGTGTGGACGGCCATGCGCCGCGGACTGCTCCTAGGCACGGCGGGCATGTCTTGGGACCGGCCGCGAAGCTTGATGATAAAAGAGTGGCGCGCGGGGCTAGGCGTAATCTATCGGCATAGAGGCTAGCGCGCGCTGCCCTGACGCGAGTCGTTCCTGCCGCATTTCGTGTTGACAAACAAAGCGCCGACGACCAAGACAACGACACCGCCAGCAGCCAGCAGCCATGGCCCGCTCGCGATACAGTCTTGCCCCGCAGGCGACGCCGGCGAAGGGCCAGAAGTAGGTCCACGATCAGAGACGGGCTGGTCTGACAACTGACGGCCCCCAGGGTCCCGCTCAACGACGACGACGAGGAGAGGGCAAAACGCCGCCATGCCTTCGCTGAGCGCCAGCGCAATGAGCTCAGGCACTCTACGACGCCCAACTCGAAGAAAAAGGGACGCCGCTCGCTTGCAGCGCAGGTCATCGATCCCTCCACGCCGACCCAGGACCACGACATGCCCGATGTCGCTGGAAACGCCGTCACCCCCATGAAGCGCGTCCTGCCGCTCGCATCCAACTTTGAAGACTGGATCAAAATGGCGACCGACAACAAGATCAACGCGGCCAACTCCTGGAACTTCGCCCTGATCGACTACTTTCACGAAATGTCCTTGCTGAAGGAGGGCGACGGCGTCAACTTCCAAAAGGCCAGTTGCACGCTCGATGGCTGCGTCAAGATCTACACCAGCCGAGTAGACAGTGTTGCGACAGACACTGGCAAGCTTCTGAGCGGTCTGGCGGAGAACGGCAACAAGAAGAGTCGTGGTGGTGACGAAGAAGATGAGGACGGCGAGGATGTAGAGGGCGAAGAGGGTGAAGACGGCCAGAAGAAGAAGCGGAAGCGGGCTGTACGCTCAGCCGAATCGACACTGGCGACATCATTCGAGCAGCTGCAAAACAAGAAGATGGACCTGGAATTTGCCCAGGACCCCCTGTTCAAAAAGGCAACAGCCGACTTCGACGAGGGAGGCGCCAAGGGTCTGCTCATGAACCATCTCGCGATCGATGCAAACGGCAGGATTGTGTTTGACAGCAGCGATGATGCGGGCGATAAGACAACGAAAGAATCAGCCGAAGACTCCGCGCCAGGGGAGACGCCGGTGCCAGAGGAAGCAGCAGAGGAAACCCCGAGCAGCGACATCGACATTGACATTTCCGGACTCGCCGCCAAGTATTTCCCCAACCTCGCAATCCTCGACGAACAAGATGTCTGCCCATCAATGAAGACCTTCGATCTTGGCGACGTCAACGGCTCCATGGATCTGCCCTTCCTCAAAGCGCCCGACGACTGGCGACAAGACGAGAAGGATGCAGACGAAGATGAGGCTGGAAACGTCACAGGCGTATTTCTCGACGATAACAACGCTGGTGGTTTTGATGATGACGACGACAACCTGGGCGGATTCCAGATGGCAGATGATGTCGGATTCGGGGAAGGTGGTGACGCTTTTGCGCAGGAGCTCGCACTAGTCCCCAACGCCCGCGTACACAACAACGGTGAAGAAGCTGAAGGCGACGAGCCTATCGAAAGCGTCGAAGGCCAGACGGGCAGCGACGAGCAGCAATATGCACTGACCATGAACCACGCTCGCGATCAGGAGCACGAGAACATCTTGAGCTACTTCGACCAAGCGCTGAAGAAGAATTGGGCAGGACCCGAACATTGGCGTATCAGGCGTGTCAAGGAGGCTGGAAAAGTGGCACCAGTGACGAAGAGGAAAGAGAAGGAGCCTTTTGAGATTGACTTCCTGGCGCCCATGTCGCAGGAGTTGGCCAACGCCCTGTACACCCCCGCGACATCAGCCTCCACGATCCTACTACCAAGGGCACAATGGAAGTCAAAATCGAAGAATCTCCTCCCCGACGACAAGCACTTCAACTCGAAGAATTTGCTGCGACTGTTCCTGAAGCCAAAGGCCCGTGTAGGCCCACGAAGACAGCAAAAGCGACACCAGGAGCTGGCAAGGAAGGATGACGCAGCCATCGGCGAGATCAACGAGGCCTTTTGGGCAAATCGTGCGAACGAGGACGCTGCTGCAGATGATGAGATCCCTGTGCAAGGCAATTATGACGCCGACTTCTTCAACGATGATGCGCTGCCATTTGCTGGTGGCTTCATGGACGACGATGACGACTTTGCAGACGCTCGTGATCACTTCTCGCCAGTGCCTTCACAGGTCCCAATCGGCACTCAAGCTACAGATGTGTTGGGTTCACAGGCGAATGCCTTCGGCGCAGACCTCATATCTCAAAGCAGACGATTCAGACCAGAATACATGCAGTATGCACGCGCAGCGAAGAAGGTCGATGTGAAGAAGCTGAAGGACAACCTGTGGAGCAGCATGGGGCTTGAGAAGGTGAGTCTCCTTTTCCATCAGCCACCGAGGCTAGACAACTGACAACGCACAGATCACTGCGCCACCTGCACCAGAAGACGATGATCCATCCATGAAGGATGTAAGCGGCACGCTCAAGTTCACGGATGTGGTCAACAACTTGAAGCAAGTTTATTCAGAGAAGGTCTTGTCTGAGATCTCGACAAGCTACTGCTTTATCTGCACACTGCATCTTGCCAACGAACAAGGCTTGGTCATCGAGAACACCCCTGATTACGAGAACCTGATCATCAGGAAGGACTTCAGCGCTGACCTCAGCATCGGGCATTAGAGATGCGCATGAGGAGAGTCTACGCTGTTGTGATTATTGATACCATGTTCGCGGGCGTTCAAGGAAGAGTCCGGATGCATTGCTAAGGCTGGGGGATCATGGTTGGGATTGTTGAATGTGCATACGAATCTCACACGACTTTTGGTTGTCCCTGATCCTCTTCAGTGGCCCAGCTTCTGCACGTAGATACCTTCTCTTCTTACCTTTTCTCACCGCAGAGGGGTGCTTCTGGAAGCCTGGGCATGTGATGTGTAGACAGCTCCCCGCCACAACACACTCACCGGTACAGCATCTATACATACTTTCCCAACGGTGAAGCCTTACGAGCAGAAATATTGCCCTTCAGTCATGCTCCCCGCTTCACTTCCATTGACGTTTCACAAAACCTATGTGTCGCGTTCTCATTCTCCAGGCGTCAGTGTGGGCATCCTTCCGCTACATAGCGGTTCACCGGTGAGCCCAACTCACAAGGATCCACTTTCATCATGCAGTGGGCCATGCAGCTAGGACCGGCGAGCCTCACACTTCATCCGCCTGCCCTGTCCAAGTGGCTGGTCGATGAACAGCGGCACCCACACGTGGCAGGCAACACGGGCTGCTGCTCAAGCGACGGCCACAGAAAGGGTGCAAAATGGGGAGAAGCGATTATAGATTCCTTTGTGGAACAGTGCGAACGTGAGGAGACCAGACTCGGCCGTGGAGCGTCCTGAGCGTCGTGGAGAAGGGTCCAACACCGGGTTTCGAAACGACATGGGAATTCGCAGGGTGCACAGAGGCCAATGAGGTGGTAGGGGCGAGGATTCAACGTGGCAGAGGCGGATCGTTGGGCTGCAGGACGCCTCCCGTTCGAGGCTCTTTTGTTGTGCATTGGGCTCTGCGGCGCCAAAACAGCCCTGGGTGGATCCACATCACAGCAATTGCAGCGCACCACGTAGCAGCGATCCAGGTTTCGGGATACTCAGAGTCATAATTTTGAGCGTGCGCCTTGTTTAGCATTTCCTCCTCGAAGGAGAGTCGCCGGTCAAGGCAATAAATAAGGAGAGAATTGGGCAGGCAGGCGCAGTAGAACCGCACCTGCATATCCTCACTGCCGTCATTGTCGTCCATCGACATCACCCACTGCTCGCCCACCTGCACCTAACCACTTCACCAGCTGCAGCATTACCTATGTCCGAATCAGCCCGAGAGACTGCACATTTCTATCTGATTCGGAGAGTACGGCGCAAGCCCTGAATACCCAGCACTGAACGCACGCACACATTCTTCCACATATCAAACATTCCCAGGCCAACGGCCACCATAACTCCCTCCAGCATTGTTGCCTCTGCCGACCCTGCAGGGCTCTTTCTGTGCGACCATCTCCGCAGCTCAGAGGTCTGACACCTGCCACATCAGACCGTCAGACGTCCCCGGCAGACGTCATCTGTGTCCGCAGCGCACCCGCCATTTACTGGTGCCCATCCTGGTGCGCATCCTGGTGTAATATCACACGCATCGCCTCGCTTCAGTTCTTATCGATTGCCTGTGCCCAGGTTGTCGCTCTACCTACTGCTCTTCGCCCGCCATCCATCCCGCGCCAGGTTAGTGTTAGTTAGCACCGCAATCAGACCTCCGCACGTCAAAACGCCAAACAGCCGCAAGGGACTCTGGACCAGGACTGCCTCAGCCAGACGCCTGCGACACGGTAAAATCAGCCCTGTGGACAGTTCTGTAGAGCTAGCCATTGCTCCCCGCGCTGAGCACGTCGAGTACGTCAAGCACTTCAAGTACATCGCTGTTTACTCCAGGGACTTGGCTGTTTACACGCTACGCACATAGCGACACCTGCTGTTGCAGCTCTTGCAGCGCCCTCCACGGCCTGCGATTGGCGATTGGACCGGTCAGCCAGACCCCACCACAGGCGCATCGTCAGCCGCCCAGCCAGGCGCAACCCAACCCAGCAGCCCTTCCTGCTTCAGTGATAACTGCCTGCGACCTCGATCTCCCGCATCTCCCGGTATCCGCACTCGGCCTGTCTCTGGTAGAACGGGCCAAGTACGGTATACCCACGCACACTTCAGCCTCATGCCGTTAGTCATCGCCCTTCCCCAGTCAGACCGCCCCTCTGCTGCCGCCATGCACTCTCACATCTCTCCCCGTTCCCGCAAAGTCGGTTCTGCTGCTTCGTCGCGCCAGTCGGTCTCAGGCCGCTCCGTCCGTAGCAGAGCCTCGACTGCCACCCGCACCACTACCACCCGCTCGACCGCCCCCTCGAGCGTCTCTGTTTCTCCTGCGCGCACCAGCACTAAAAGCAACATTGCTACGAAACGCGACACTAACATCACCATCAGACAAGCTCGCCGCGGCAAGGGTATCGAAGTCCGAGTCGACAATCACACCGGTAATTACGTCGAAGAGTACACCGACGATAGCGAGGACTTCTCACCAGAGAACTATAGCGACGAGGAGGAGGACTACACCGAAGACGAGGAGACCGACGAAGGCGAGGACAGCTGGGACCTCATCGAGGAGGAGAGTGCCATCAACCCGTCAGACTCGGCCTCAAGGCCTCAGCACCACGCTGGTCGCAGTCGCCAACAGCACCACCACCACGCGGCTCCTCCAGCTCCCGCTGCGCCCTCCGCACCAGTCGCGCACCGTCCGCGACCATCGCGCCGCGCCTCTTCTCGCCACGCAGTTGCTGCGCCAGATCCACACTCCGCCCACCACAGCAGCAGAAGCAGAAGCCGTGGTCCCGAACCGGCGCGTGAGCAACGGCCTCGTCGCCGTCGCCAGCAGGCCCACCAGCAGCCACCTGCTGACAGCTTGGGTGAGGAAGACACCGGCGACGACTACCCTGGGTACGGTGCACCACCGCACCACGGCGGACCTCCTGGTCACCCCAGCGCGCAGTGGTCGCACGTTCAGCCAGCTCCCGGCTATGCACCAAGCCAGATGTCCCACTTCGATCCTTACTACGGTGCTGCGTCTCCATCAGGCCAGCTAGTCGGCCAAGGCTACCATGGCGGCTTTGATCCCCATCGCCAGAACGGCTTCAGTCCTCAACAGCCAAACCCATTCGCGGCAGGACCTGAAGGCTACTTCCAGGGTCCACAAGGCGCTCGTGCAAACCGCCGTTCAATGGGCGCGCCTCCAGCCCCGCCGTCTGTGCCATCTGATGCCATGATGCCCTATGGTCAACATCCAATGGGTGCTCATCCAGGCTACCCACAAGGCTACCCACCATATCCCTATCAGATGATGCCGCCAGGTTTCAATCCGTACCAACAGCATCCTTCCCCTCCCCCACAAGACCACCACCGACACCGATCTAGTCGATCCAAGCGAGGTACACCGAGACCGCAGTCTTCTCATTTTGATCATTCTGACGATGATTTCGCTCAAGCTCCTCCACCACCGCAACAAGTCGTTGTAGCCGCTCCACCACCACCGGCCCCGCCCCCACCACCTCCACCTCCGCCGCCAGACACAGCGAAGGAGGACGCTATGCTCAAGAGGCTGAACGACTTGCTCCTCGGCAAAGCCGAAGAAGAGGCAAGAAAGGAAGCAGAAGCTAGGAAGAATGCTGAATTGGCCAAGTTCGACCGCCTGGAAAGTCTTCTCGTCGCACAGCAAGAGGCGCAGATTGCCAAAGACAAGGCGAAGCAGCAAGCTATCGTGGACGCTGCCAAGAACGCCGCGGAGGCAAAGAAGAAGGGCGATGAGGATAAGCTCGCTAAGCTCGAGAAGCTCATCTTGGCCCAGAAAGACGAGCAACTCAAGCGCGAGGCAGCAGCAGATGCCGCGCGCAAGGCGGCCACGGAAGAGGCAGATGCCCAGGCCAAGAAGATTGCCGAAGAGAAGAAGGCTGCCGCGGAATCTGCTGCTCTGTTGCTTGAGGCGGCGAAGAAAGCTCGCGAGGAAGCCGAGAAGAAGGCAGCAGCAGAGGCTGAGGAGACTAAAAAGGCTCACGAGAAAGCCCTAGCTGAGGCCAAGGCTGCAGCAGAGGAGCTTGAGAAGGCGAAGAAGGCTGCCGAAGAAGAAGCAGCCAAGCTCAAGCCCTCTGATGCACCAAAGGCGCCCATCAAGTTCAAGGATGCGGTTGGCCGCAAGTTCAGCTTCCCATGGCACATCTGCAAGACTTGGAAGGTACGTTACTATACTCAAATTGCTTAATCGATCTCTGACTGACTAATTTAGGGTATGGAAGAGCTCATCAAGCAGGCCTTCCTGCACGTCGACATCATTGGCCCTCACGTACACCAGGGCCACTACGATCTTGTCGGGCCCGACGGTGAGATCATCTTGCCCCAGGTCTGGGAAACCATGATCCAGCCCGACTGGGCCATCACGATGCACATGTGGCCCATGCCCGAACCCAAGGAGGACACGCCACCGCCACCACCACCACCACCACAGCCGGTTCCGTTCGATCACGCGCAGTTTATGGCAGCCCCGATACGTCCTAGCAAGCACGGCAAGAAGTCAAGCAGCAAGAAGGTCCCCAGGGTTATCCCTGATGCGCACGAAGTCATGCCCCCTCCCCCGCCCCCTCCCCCTATGGTCCCTGGAGCACCTCCACCGCCGCCAGGTGGTGCTGGCATTCCAGTGGGAGTGATGGTCATGCCTTCATCCGGCAGTGGAGCCCCACATAAGCCTAAGAAGAAGCCTGCGCCTGGTGGCTTCTTCGCCTGGGCAGCTGGCGGCAACGGTCGGTCTGGCTCCGTCAAGAAGAGCAATAAGAAGGCCTGAATCGTTGCGTGGCAGCAGCGCGTCGAGGAAGCCTCATACACGTCGTCATGAACATCACGATGACTTCTTGTTCAAGATCTTGCCACTGACTGAGATTTACAGTACGTGTCTTGCAGTGGAACAAGCCTGACTGGAACGAAGCTAGGGATGAGAACACGCGCACTGTGATGAGGTACAGGTGGATGAACTTTCGGTGACGATCTGACGGCTCGTTTCAGCTTTCGGATTGCTCTGGTGTTCATCTTTCTTACGTCACCAAGTGCATGTTGTTCTTCCTGGTGAAGCTTTCTTCAAGGTTGTATTTATGGCAGGTTCACTCCTGTAAGTCTCGTCATCAACATTGCTACTCTCGCCTCGCAAGTCGTTCTTCAGCGCTGTTTGCCACAGGGCTGGGTTGCCCGTATTGTTTCGTTTCCTTGTTTGTCTTTTACATTGTTTTCTTTCGCTTCAACAAGCATCCTTATCATCTTGCCCATATACCCTTACAGCCTTTTGAGAAGTATACGATACGTTTTGGGGGTCCCTGAGAAAAGAGGAGGAAAAGTAGGATACTTTACCATTTGTCAGGCACCTTGCTTTGAGCGTTGTTGTTTGGCTATGGACTACCCCTTTTGATTTTTGCGGCGTTCAGCGGGAGAATTGTTAACATGATTGACGAGAGATGAGAGATGAGACACGGTGAGACGATGAGATGGTTAATGAAGGAGGTTGTTTCTTTGTCGCGTTTGTTCGCGGTGGCTGGAGGGTGTGTTGTGTCGATGTTGCCGTGCAATTTGGCTTCTAGCGTTATTGCCCAAGATTTCTGGTCCTTGAATATAAAATCATCTCTTTATCTAGCGTTCAGTGTGTGGCTGTCCCAAGTGATTGTTTGCAACATCCGAAGTCTTCGTCGCGCCTGCTGACCAGTGACGTTTGGGAGGAATCTAGCGCCGACACAAAGCAGGCGTGTGAAGGCCTCGATCTCTGTCTTCTTTGCGCCGATGACTGTCACTTGGCACCAACGTTATCCTCGCGCACTGCAACTAATATCTTCTCCCATCGCTCCTTCCAATGCAGACTGTGTTGCACGTTCAAATTCAGCGTTGGCGCCATGGCACAGTGCGCTTCCAACGACAGCAAGCCAGCGTAACCTTCCTTACCGTTATCAGGTTATCGGGATATCGACAGCGGGAGGGAAGGTCCGATTAACATTATACCGCGCTTCGGCTGTCAACCGGCCTCACTTCTGCCAGCCCTCGTCTCGATGACACTACTGAAATTACCAGCCTTAGGGGCTTTGACACCGTCGGAGCTCGGCCTGCAGTTCTCAAACACAAACACAATGACCCCGATGTATCACAGCCTGGGCTGGTCAGGGTATAATTAATATCCCCTTTGCTGTTGAGTACGAAGTGATGCAAGGAGTTGCCCGAAGTAGGATGCCGTCGATAGCGCAGATCGAAAACGAGGGTCTCCTTGTCCATCAAGTGATTACCCCAGCCCAGCGAATCGATCCTAAACCCGTTAGCTGGTGGAGCACCTAACGTCATGTAACCACGATCATCCAGCATGTTTTTCCGACACGTCGGGCTTGCGCGCGTGCGCGGCAATTTAGTGTGTATCATTTGGAGCCACCGATATGCTTAAACCGCACTTTTCTCCACTGCGAATTAAACTCCACGTACAAACTCCTGCTGTGCAACGGCCGCTACGCTACAAACTTTCCGGACGCCGGAAGTACGCTACGTACCTGCATCACTGACAGGCAGCTAGAATCTTCGACTGGCGCGTCGGTGTTGGTGGTGCCATGTATCAGTGCGTTGCAGGATCATCGAACACAAGGAGAAGGATCATGCAATGGCATCAGTGATGATGAGCGCATTGCCAAGTCGAACAGCATCTGCTCTGACAGAGGAGTCGACGCCAGCACAAGGTGCATTGCTGTCAGCAGGAGCCGGAATCACTGGAGGTCTGTTCCTCATGTTACCGCCACTAGTCACGACTTAACTCTAATTTCTGCAGGTTACACCGGCAATTCACTCAGTCTCAAGATCATCACGTCTGTGCTTCTCGGCCTGTCTTCGTACAACGCTGTTGAGCTCGTGATTCTAGTTCTCGTCACCTTCCAGCGCTATCATGGGCTGTACTTTTGGAGCTTGTTGATCGCCGGCTTTGGCGTGCTGCCATACTCGCTCGGGTTTGTGATCAAGTTTTTCCAGCTTCTGGATCCAAATTCTGATGCTGGATATGTGGCTGTTGTACTTCTCACCGTTGGCTGGTGGGCCATGGTCTCAGGTACGTATATTCCATCTCTCGGACTCAGCACGCTGATGTTGTCCCAGGCCAATCGGTAGTACTTTGGTCCCGTCTGCATCTTCTCACCAACTCACGAAAGGTCCTTCGCTGGACCCTCTACATGATCATTATCAACGGAGGGCTGCTTCACTCAACCACGACAGTGCTCACATTTGCCTCGAACTCGAACAACCTCTCCGAGACCGTACTTCAGCGATACGTCAACGGCTACTCGATCATGGAGAAGATACAGATGACCGGCTTCTTCGTTCAGGAGTGCATCCTCTCTATCATTTACATCCGCGAAACAATTCGTCTACTGCGCCTCAGCGAGTCCGTGAAGGACGACATCGGTTCGTTTGACGATGGCACCGGCCAACTACGCAAAGCGAGCGTACGCAAGACCATGTACCAGATCCTCACCATCAACGTCATTATAATAGTCATGGACGTCGCTCTCCTCGCCACCGAATTCGCCAATCTTTACCTGATCGAAACCACCCTGAAAGGCGTCGTTTACTCCATCAAGCTCAAGCTCGAATTCGCCGTCCTCAGTAAACTCGTCCAGATCGTCCAGGTTCGAACGAGCTCCAAGACCAACAGCCCCATGGGCGCGACAGCGTCTGATGACCGGCGCGGTACAGGCCTAACACTCGAGATGACGAAGAGCGGAGACGCAGGCCTTGGCACCAGCAGTGGCTCGACGAGGACCGGACACGTTCCTTCCAATCCGCATGGCAGGCTTAGCATCACCGGGGCGGACATGCGCAACTACCCGGATTTCGTAGACCCCAGGCGGCTTACTGGAGACTTCACGCATGCAAGGGCGGATGTGCTGTTCAGGAACGGAGGGCTGGATGACTGGGAACACTCGACCGAGGAAGAGAGGGAACGATGGAGAAAGAGGCCGAGAGGTGGCAAGCCGAGGGGCAGTTGGATCGATGAAGAGATGGATAAACATAACATTGGCTGAAGCAGGCGATCCAGAAACACACACCTATCATATGGACAACATCCGGTTCGCCCCGCTACAAAAACGACTCCAGCGCCAACGAGCTCAGTCACCTTAAGGAAGCTGGTATATGCGGACCCCTTCCATCCGCGGGCCGTCGAGTCGTCGAACTCCAAGCCAGGCCTATCTGCCGTGGATTCCTCCACGCGATCCGGAGCATCGTTGAGAACCCGTGCTTCCAATCCCCACCGGCTCCGCACCCCCGACGCCTCTCGTTTTGCACACGAAAGACCCCCGAGTCTCCCCAGACTTCGTACAGACTTCGACACCCATGCACCAAGGTCTAACCTCGCATCAACGACATCGCACGCGTCGCGCCAACCGGGTCCGGATGGAGCAACACCGAACCAAGTCCTAACGCTTTCGGCGCCGTCCTCCGTCTTGAGGCTGGCCGTTAAGTTGTCAAGCTAGGTCGTTTCCACTTGGGTAATGGAGCGCAGAGTGCGTCGACACACTCCGCGCGCACCACGAACAACACGGCCTCTCCAATCCCACACGGTACCGTGAACCGGGGCACAAATCGGGCGATGTAGGCATACTCTTGATTTTTTGCCTGTACGGAGTGTTTGGAGACTGATTAGAGTGTCTACGGCGCCCTGTGTCGGAATTATCTATGACCCTCCTGCAAGACCTGCTGACAAGCGGGCAACCACACAGTCCAAAAGCCGGATCGGGAAACTTCCATCCAGCGCGGCTGCGGGGCATGAAGGGAAATGGAGCGACGAACGCGTCTCCACCGTGTACGTTGCCAAGTCGTACGTCAAAAGCCCGTGGTACCTCAGGACCAGTGCGCACGAGGCCCGGAGGAGGTGGTACATCGGATCGCGCTGCTCGCGGGACGGCGAGCAGGGCTATTATCGCGGTGGACCTATCCGAAGAGGTTGATGCAGCGGTGCGCGACTCGTCTGTAACAGCGCCGTGGAAGTATCTCTGCTCAGTCGTGTCGTGGGGAATTAGTACTCACGTAGCGAGATTCGAAGCATAATTGTTACATGCACAACTCCTGCCATCGTCCAAGCCCACGAGCAGCTCCGCCCTTGATGACACGCTCACCATTGAGGAACGCCACGTGTTCAACCTGCCCCGCGATAAGTGATGTTTTCCCCGATCTCTTGTGGTTAGGCCTGGACATGGTCGTGGTCACTGCCATAGTAATGTGGGCGTCGCTGCGCACCCCCGGTTCGCCGGGGTGAGCACGGCAGTTGGGATTAGCTTCTCATGAGAAAAGACATGCGCTTTGCAATGGCTATGCACTAATGATTCGGGGGCGGGGAGGGGGGACATATTGCTTTCCAAAGACGGAGGATGGTGGAGTGTCTCCGAAGCGTGGTGAGGCGAAGGCTCGTACTGCCCCGGAGTGCTGAGCGTGGGCGGCGGTACCGCAGTGTCTGGCCGGTAGCGCAGTGTGTTGGGTGGCTGTTCGGACTTGGGCGAGAGCGTGGGCGCACAGTTGGATGCGAGCGTCAGCTGTCATTCCATTAAGGGTGAATAAAGTCGAAGTATGCTTGTGTGATACACGGTATATCTAATGCAAATGTCGTTATATCTCTCATATGATGACCATGAAGGCGATGGCAAGCGCTACCCATAGTGCCAGCATGTTACTTTGCGCGATACTTGCCGCACCCTGCGGTGTTGCAGTTGGCGTTGGTTGCCCAGTCGCTGTTGGGGCATCACTGGCACTCGGTACCTCATCGTCAGGCAGCTGCTTGAGCACGTTGAAGACGAATTGGTCGAGTACATTCCCGGCCGGGTAGTACTCACAGACGATGTACCTTTTCGGAGTTAGACCTGAGATGTCGACTGACGGGCTGCAAACAGAGATTGCTGTGAACGTACCATCCTGGCGCATCGCCCTTCCCGCCCTTCTGGTCGCCATTACATTCGGTGCGCGCGCAGCCAACGGTTGAAGTATTCCGCCACACAAGCTGTGTGAAGTGACCTGTCTCAGCTCTGCATACGTCAGTCCATATGGTACAGCAAGGCAAGCCCAGATGCGGTAGAAACTCACGAAAATTCCCCCTTATCGAAATCATAGTCTTCCCTCTCGTTTCCCCACACCTCCACACTCGCTGTCACATTAGGATAGCCCGACGCCAGATTCTCCCCAGACGGCCCGCCAGAGTGGTCGAACTTGCAGTCTTCGCTCCAGTCTTTTGCGTACTCGGCGAGCGAGTTGTTCCAGGACAGCTGCGAGGCGTTGTGTTGTCGCCGGTAAAGGTTTGTGACGTCGAGGATTGCCTGCTGGAAGTTCGAGTCCGAGGCGTATTCGGCGGATACGGAGGAGTCTTGTGAGGACTGAGGGGCTGCAAGTGCCAACGAGGCAGAGATGATGAGCACAGCTGGGTAGAAACGCATGTCTAGTATGACTTGAAACAAATGTATTGCAAAAAACCGCTATATGGGAGCTGAAGAACGATGCGAGAACGCTGAATAAGCCGTAGACGTCGTATTGGATGTTGAAATTGCGTTTTTGTACAGATAGTACTGAGGTGTATGTAATAAGACGAGAGCAGGGGAGGAGGTGGCCACGTCAAAGAAGCAGGATCGCGCTGTGAGCTTCACGAGGGAGCAGGGATGTGACCTTGTTTCGCACCGTTGATGGCGTCGGATATCGTCCCGAGCCATCAAATCATTGCTGCAGGGGAGACGTCAAGATCGTGGTTGTGAGATCTTGGCTTGAACGTTTGAACCTTGGAGTTGGGAAAAGCACGGTGACGTAGTCTGCATGGTCTGTGCGTTCTGATGATACAAGGTGCATGCTCGGGTTCTGATCAGCCAAGCTTCCTTCGCATCGACTCATGCTCAGTGTGCAGCTGGAGCTCAGCACCTATGGACCTATACCTCATGGAGACCCAGCAATATACGCCACTGCAGCTGAGCTGGACAATCACCAATGGAACTAAGCAACAGCAGAAGACATCAAGGCGGAAGACACTGGTTTGAAGAACGTGCTGAACGGCCCAAATTGTCAGGGCCTTCTGCACAGCTCTTGAAGGCTGGCTTACTGACAAGAACAACGACATTCCATTGACCATGGCGCCAATATACAGTGACTACACCAAGAAGTCCCAGACACGATGTCGTTCACACGACAAGGGCGAGTCTAGTAGCTGGCTCCAGCAACTGGTACTTGCGGCCTTCAAGTCAAAGTTTGTCGACTAGGGATTGCACTCCGCCAAGATAACTTTATACTACATGGTGGACAGAATCGAGATCGACATCGCTGAGTCAGTATTGACTCTAATCACGGACAGCGCATACCAGACCGGCGGAGGCTTCGACCTCGTCCCTGAGGGCATCCGGACGTTAAGTTCGAAGTTCGCAAGCCTGACAGAAATAGATCGAAGAGGATTCTGGGCAGAGCGCAAGGAGTGAAGAGAGGAGACTCCTTGGGCCGTGGAGAGCATGACACTGAAGCTGGACGCCTCTAGAGCAGAAAAGACAACGCTGCAGGAGAAGATCGACGAGATCAGAGTAGACACGCAAGCGTCCCAAGAAAGAGCGAAAAGGGTTCGAATGACAAACAAAAGTTTGTGCGAGTCGATCGCTGAGCAGACTGCTGCGCAGCTGCAAATGTCGGACACGCTGCGCAGGAAACACCAAAGTGAGAACAGCGCAGTTTTTAAGGTGATGGAGTTTCAGACGGAGAAGTTGAGATAGCTGGCCAAACGGCTCAAACTCTACTACCTAGAGCCAGGAGATTGAAGGGCAAACGACTCAATCGTGCGACGTCCACGGTGAGCAGACTACAAGGCAGGTAAAAGGATCGCACGCCGAGCCTGACCAAAGGCCCACACTCAGCGAGGACTAGCTATCGCACAAAGGTTTCGATGAGACATACCATATGGCATGTCAGTTCCTCATAAGCTTCACAAGTGGCCCGAGGTCTCACGCTGCTCTTGCAACGCACCGCATCCTCTGATCCGTGAAAGATTCTGTCTACCCTCGAAGTCTTCCCAGGCCAATACCGAATGCACCAGTGTCGATGAGTGCCGAAGAAAAAAGTTAACACCACTGCCAGCATTGGAAAACATGACTGTGTGCATACTCAGTGCAGTCTTTGCTTTCAGGACGTTGTTATGGACTGGGTCTGGAGTCGCATCCATATTGACATGCTCCTCGCCTTCGTTCTGAACAGGTGTGTCGGTCTGTGTCTCAGTATTGGAACAACTCGATCTGCACCGTGAGAAGCTGGCGATCCTGCTCTCGGAGATCAAGCCTACGATCTGACAAAACTGTGGCAAAAGAAGAAGGATGGTGAAGCTGGTCTAACGCGTTCTGAGAGGCACTCCTAATCTGTGCTGTCTGGGCCTGGGCGTTGACATGGACTCGTGTCGTCTCGTTGCAGCGAAGGGCCAGTTGTTGTAGTTCGACGCGGTGGTAATCTTGATATGGCGTGGCCTCCTCCTTCTCGATCTTGAGGCGGTCTATGTGGTGAACGATCGACTTGATTCGATCATCCGTCGATGTTGGTGGCTATCGCGAGATCGGAATGAATTCTCGGCGAGTTGTGGGCTGGTGTCGTTGCAGCCTGGTACATAGAGGGCGCGGCTTTCGCGCTTTCGCCTTGTGCGGAAGCGGAGGTGTGAAGGAACCCTGGCCATCATCGCAACTGTGTTCCATTAGCAAGTACACAGCGGGGCTGAAATTTTTAATACTGCTTGGCAGAGCTCCTGATGGCTTGCTCCGACCTGAGATTGTCGCAAAGTACGTGTGTCGCTGTTGGTGGCTAAGCATATCTAAACCATAAATCTACAGCCTCGCCGCGCCACGCCTCTACCATCGCAAACCAACACTCCGCAGTTTCAAGCGCTCTTCTTCGCAGGAACCTGCCTGTTGGCCTCGCCCATCTCTTTGACCTGCGGATCCCTCTTCGCCTCTTCTTCTTCGACCTCAGGGGGAAAGTCGCCTTCTACGATGCCGAACACGCCGACGTCGCTCCGGCCCATGCCGCCACCCTTCTTCTCAGTCTCCTCCCACTCCTTCAGCACGTATCTACCCTGCTTCCTGGTCTCCTCCTCATCGTAGTCGAACACCCGCCAGTCGGCGTTGAAGAACATGCGGTTGCAGACCGCTGTGCGGAGGAAGCCCGAGTGTGTGACAACAGCGATAACCTTCTCTGGCCTGCTGTACAGATCCTTGAGGCAAGTCTGTCCACGAGCAACGATGGCCTTCTCGGTGAACGCATAGGGGTTCGTCTTCAAGTTACTGGTCTTGTCGGGGTACAGCGGGTCGACGCCTGAGAAGTCGTACTGCGGGTATTCCTGGGAGATGACATCCATGGTGTTGCCGGTGTCGCAGGGCTTGTCGGCATTCTCGTGCCAGTTGGCGTCAGGGTGAACGGGCACACCATTCTTGATCAGGAAGTCCAGTCCGATAGTCATGGTCTCAAGGGTTCGTCTCATCGGGCTGACTACGATGAGCTCCGTCTTGTTCGCAAGATCGCTGGCCTTCAGACTCTCATGAAGCTCGGCGCTTTGTTGGCGCCCCAGGTCTGTCAGTGGCGGATCATGGATTGACTGGTCAATTGTTAGAACATTGCCAACTTGTACATATCTAGTGGACAGTCATACCCAATCGCTGGTAGCGTTGTGAAGTGCCTGTGCATGGCGAACGAGGATGAGTGTCGGCGGCATGATTTGGGGGTGTGTATTTGTTGCAGGAGTCGAGATTTCTGAAGCACGACAGGATGTCGGCGATGGGCGATTTTAATAGCCACAAGATGTCTATCGGCGTTTGACTGGAGAATGACGCGCTTGCCCCACTAGGCTCCCGCTAGCTGGGTCTCCAGGACTTTTCGGCAGAGTGACGCTCGTGTGCAAGTCATGCCTGTTCTGGAATCAGCAGGGCTCAATGTTTGCGGGCAATCATGCTCTGCTTGGTATGTCAGTGCTGCTTGGAAGATTCAAGTTTATAGCGCAGAAGACAGAGAATGGGGCGCAACTGGTTCGTCAATGTGCTCCATGAGCATTTCGTTATCATGGTGACCGTCTATGGTGTGCCAATGGTGTAGCGTGAGATGCACCTGGCCGAGGCCTACTCCTCCATCTTCTCTTCTTCCTCCTCATCCTCATCGTCACCCTCCAGCGCCTTCTTCGCCAGCCTCTCGGCCTCTTCCCTGATCTCCTTCGGTACCTCCTCGTGCCTGCCCTTAGTGGGTCCGTCCAGATTGCTGATCCAGGTCAGCTCCAGCTCGAACTCCTTGTCCTTGTTGTCGTCGTGTGCAACGTAGATGATGCGTGCGGCCTCCTTGACACCGTCTTGCAGCGACAGCTCGCCCGCGGCAAGGTTGAGCTTCTCGAGTTCGGACTTGGCGATCTGACGGCCCTTGCCGGTAGCAGCACCGTAGTATCCCTGCATAGATTAGCTTCATCCCAGCGCATCAACAGCACAACGTACCCAGTACAGGCCGCTCGGCTCAATCATGTACAGAGAAGGTCCGCCGTGCTTCGCGCCCTCCTTCTTGCCACCTGAGCCGGCCTTTGGCCCTGAGCCAACCTGCCCATCGACCGGCAGCTCGGCCTCTGAGTCCCAGCCTGCGACGATCGCTGTGATACCGAAGGGGCGTACACTGGAGTAGAGGGTGTAGGCTTGCGCGTAGCTGCCCATGCGGTCGGCGAGCGAGGCTACCGGGATGGGTGCCTTGTACAGCTGCCGCCATTGGGCTGCCTCATCGCGGGCTCTGGAGACGAAGTGGCGACCGTCGGGGAGGAGGCCTGAGGAGACGATGCCCATGTTCCTGTCGACTGTTGCTATCCTCTTGTTCGCGCCTGCCTTCAGCAGCTTGCTGGTGATGAGCTTCTCGAGAGCCAGCACGACGCCGTCCTTGCACCTGATGCCGACTGCTGTGCCGCCATTCTCTACTGCCTTGACTGCGTACTCGACCTGGAGACGTTACTTGCTGCGCCTGCATTACCGAGGAGGCGTGTATTCACCTGGAAATTACGGCCATCAGGCGAGAAGACCGAGTTGGACAGGTCGTAACCCGTACCTATCGATGTCTGGATAGCTGTCAGAATGGAGGATGCGCAAACACGGCGTCTGTGGGGCTGACCATGGCGAAGCGAGGTGTGTGTGTCTGAGTCTATGGAGAGCGTCTCTAGCGGCGAGTTGGAGCTGATCAGATACAGCAATCGAATCGGTGGAGTGCAGTCGATCGGCGGAGCTCGGTGATGGTGTTGATACAGGCAGTTGCGAGTTGCGTAGAGCTCACGGCGCCTTCCAGCTAGCGCGGTGGTCTGTGCCTTCCGGCGCCCATCTCTTGCCTCATTACGAACCCCGCCATATCCCAGCGACGAGGGGCACTTCTGGCACTGTTTATGCACTGATCTCGCCAGGCTTTGCTGGTCACTGACTGATCTCGAGACTGACAAGCGTCAGCAAGCTGCTTCTACGTGGGCGCTCTCTCGCGCCTTCTGCCCTAGCGATCTAATTGTGGTCACAGGCGGCTCGAGGACTGGCTCCGCTTCAGCACGTTTGATGAGTTGTCGGACACAATTTGCAGGCACCAGCAGCGACCCATTGGCTCTCCACCTGCTAGGCCGAACGTTCGGTTTCAGTCTGCTGTTAATTGGACGTGGGCGACCAAATCATCCCGCCTTTTCCTCTACGTTTGGACCCAACCGCATGACCCATCACCTGCGCGCTACACAGTACATATAGAACTACTGCCACGCCGCCCTCGGGTCACCTCCGTCCACTCTTTCCGTTGCATACCCTGACTACTGACCCAGCTATCCCTTTGTCCTCCCGAGCGCCCTGAGAAGCGCAAACAAAGACGCCGTTGTTGCAATATTCAGTGTCGGCGCCCAACGAAATTTGCCAAGCATCACCAAACCGCGTCACTATATCAACGATCCTCGTAAAGCTTTGACTGAAGCCCTGAGCTGATCAGCAGTTCGAACGACTTGCCACAGAGTCCTGACGTCTTGGACTAACAGCTGGTGCATCTGACGGAGCCAAGCGACGGTTTCTTGCGCTTCCAGCCAGTGTTGAATCGCCGACGGAGCAGCCAATGCTTGTCCATTACTGCAACTGTACTTACAACACGGCTGTTGCTTTCAGTCCATCTGTGTTCTCACAGAACACCGCCTGCTCAAATGTAAGGCTCCTGACCATTCGACATGTTGATGTGCTTATGGTTACGTCATAGTGCGGCTCTATTTCAACCGATATCGACGTGCGATCAAAGGTCGAAGCACAAGCCAACATGCAGCACGACGAGCTTGCGCAGCTGTTCGCAGCTAATATGCACCTGTCTCAGAATGCACCACAGCAGAGTCAGCAGACACAGCCTGTACCAGTGCCGCAGCAGGCAGAGCAGGAGGCGACCAAGGCGATAGTGTATGCTTCAAGCCACTACACGCACTCACATCATGTTGTGCCAACCCGGAGTGCTTCTGAGCCTCCAGTAAGGACAAACATTGAGCTGTCGGAGCTGGGAGCGATCCTCGTACGCAATAGCATCAACCCTGAGTTGTTGTTTCCGTCCCAAGTTGAGCTGTTCCAGAACGCAGACGACGACCAGCGATTAAGGCTGCTCGAGCTGTGGCGCATCTCACCACCACAGGGCCGACAAGGATACCCAGAAGGGTCAGACTACAATATGTCGAGGCAACTGTACGACTGGCCACCCACGAGCCTGAGTCAGGAGGAGGCCATGGCAAAGCTGCGGTACGAGAAGGCTCAGCAGGAAGAGCAGAAGGCTCGCGAGCTCAGCGCGTCACCGCAGGTTGCCGAGCCGTACATGATGTCGGGCTACGACATGCTCGCAAAGCGCGAGTACGAGCAGTCGGGCAAGGAGGCGAGCTACAACCAGGCCACGGATCCCGTGTACAACAGCAGCAGCAGCAGCAGTAGCAACGGCCTGTGGCAGAACAAGGTCGGTAACATGTCGGACATGGAGAACAACTACGGCGCGTATGCGTATGCGCGAGAGTACGGGTTCCAGCAGCCACTGTACGCCGACGAGGAGATGGTCATGTGAGAGGATTGACTACAGCACTTGGCGTTAGTGTCTTGTGGACGGAGGATTGACGACAGCTTTGGGCGTTTTTGTGTCTTGTGGACGGAAGTCGAAGGCGTGTTGAAGCTGCACAGGACGGTTGGTTTGCTCGGATACCCCTTTCTACAGAAGACTTTGAAGCTTTGCAGATGATTAATGTGGACGTGTTGGTGCATTGTCGATTCTCTCAGATGATTAATGTGGACGTGTTGGTGCATTGCCGATTCTCTCGGATGATCACTGTAGACGTGTTGGTGCATTGCCGATTCTCTCGGATGATCACTGTAGACGTGTTGGTGCATTGCCGATTCTCTCAGATGATCACTGTAGACGTGTTGGTGCATTGCCGATTCTCTCGGATAATCAACGCAGACGTGTTGCAGCACCGCTCTGACTCTCTCCCCAATATAACACACCACGCGTCTACTTCTTCGCCTTGCCGCTGGGCCACTTGGTCCACCCACGCCCATGCCCTTTCTACACAAATCAGCACCGCATGTCAAACCCAGCACGTATCCTCCGCAAGAACTCACCTGTTTCCACTCCTGTATCAGCCTTGGCATATCCAGCATAGCCTGCCTCCTCATCTCCAGCCTTCCCTTGAGCGTGCGCTCCCACAGCTTTCCCTTGACGCGCTGGCCGGCGCCCGTGCCCTTGACGGCTAGCCCGCGCTCCAGCCGCCGCGCCTCTTTTGCGCCGGGCTTCTTGATCGTGTAGGGGAGCAGGTCGACTACGCCGTGCGAGGAGGCGAGTTTTACTAGGTCGGCTTGTTTTCGGAGACCGTATACGGGGCCGTGCCAGCGGCCTGTTAGGTGGTTCTTGGTTGGCTGGAAGGGGTTGGGGAGGGTGAGGGCAGGGGCGGAGGATTCTGGGTCGGCGGCTGTTGTGTCGGCGGCTGTGGGGGGCGGTGTGCTGGTGGACGGTGTGCTGGTGGACGGTGTGCTGGGCGTGTCCGCGGGCGTCGCGGCGATCTGCGCCGTGAGTGTGGGGAAGAGCTGCGGCGGGGGATGGCGCTGGAAGAAGCGCAGTAGCCGCGGGGGCAGCGTCTTTGCGAGCTCAATGGCCTGCGGGGTCGCCATTGTTGCGGTGGGATTCCTGATTACTGGGCGGCAAGGGAGCGTTGCGGCGAGCGCGACGGGAATCTTTCGGCTTAGTCAGCGTGCACGGATGCGCGCTGGGTGATGGCGGCGGGCGGGTGAGCTGCGTAGCTTGTTGCTACCTGCTAAGAGCATCATCGACATCCACCGTGATTCCGTAAACGCTCAGCACCACGTCGACCCGCCGGAAGCTCTACGTACTTTTTGTCTCCCGTCTGTAGCAGTGGCAAGCGTAGAAGCGGGCAGCTCACAATCACAATCACAGCCATGGTAAGCTCCCCGCCGCCGGCACCGCGTGTGTAGCTGACAGCCGCAGTCGTCCCCGTTCTCGATAAGTAGGCATGCCTCGACCGCACGCACGCCCCGAGACTAACCAGCGCAGACGGCGGCGCCTGCGTGGCCATGGTCGGCAAGGACTGCGTGGCCATTGCGTGCGACCTGCGGCTCGGGATGCAGGCGCTCACCGTGTCCAACAACTTCCCCAAGGTGTTCCAGTACGGCGACGTGTTCCTGGGGCTGACGGGGCTCGCGACGGACGTGGCGACGGTGTCGGACCTGTTCCGCTACAAGGTCAACATGTACCGCCTGCGCGAGGAGCGCAACATATCGCCGCAGACCATGGCCAACCTCGTCTCGTCGTCGCTGTACGAGAAGCGCTTCGGCCCGTACTTTATCAGCCCCGTCATTGCGGGCATCAACCAGACGACGGGCAAGCCGTTCATCTGCGGCTTCGACAGCATCGGCTGCATCGACTTTGCCAAGGACTTCATCGTCAGCGGCACCGCGAGCGACCAGCTGTTCGGCACATGCGAGGGGCTGTGGGAGCCGGATCTGGTGGGCGTTCCCGTGGAGTGCGTCGGGGTGTGCAATGCGCAGGCTAACTGGGGACAGGGCCCGGACGACCTCTTCGAGACGGTCTCGCAAGCGCTGCTCAACGCCGTCGACCGCGACGCGCTGTCCGGCTGGGGCGCGCACGTGTACATTATCGAAAAGGACAAGGTGACCAAGCGGCTGCTGAAGGGCAGGCAGGATTAGACGGTGGACGAATGCACGAACACGACGACACGACAAGGCGCCGGTATGAATGAGACGAGGCTCCACGATGCTTAACGATGCTCCACGATGCTCCGCGATGCTCCATGATGCTTAACGATGCTCCACGATGCGTCAAGGCACCAGGGCGTCAAGGCACCAACGCACCAGGGCATCAAGGCACCAAGGCATCGAGACATCAAGGCATCAAGGCATCAAGGCATCAAGGGTAGACTGCAATAGACTGGCTGCCCGTGCAATGACTGAGAATGGTGCTGAAAATGGTGTTGAAAACGGTGTTGAAAGTACCGAGTGATGTCGACGTGTTGTGCACGTGACAGCGTGCCTCGTCGTGATGGCTCAAACTCGGACTCGGCCTTGGAACCACACCCAAACTCGTAGATAGCCACCGACGCAGCTCCCGTGAACAACCACCGATGCAGATCACGTAATCAACCACAGATACCGTAAACAACCACCGATGCAGATACCGTAAACAACCACCGATGCAGATCACGTAAAAAACAACCGATGCAGATACCGTAAACAACAACCGATGCAGATACCGTAAACAGCCACCGATGCAGCTCCCACCGATGCAGCCTCCACCGCCGCCGCCGCCGCTCGACGCTCCTCCGCCGCCGCCGCCCAGCGCAGACGCACCGCCGCCGCCGCCGCCGCCGCCCGAGGACGAGTCGCTGCGGCCGGCGCTGCAGCCAAAGCGGGCCAAGAAGGGATGGGCGTCGCAGAACAAGCAGCCGCCGAGCATCGACGACCTGCTGCAGGCGAAGCGCGCAAAGGAGGCGGCGGCCGCCAAGCCCAGGTTCCTGTCCAAAGCCGAGCGCGCGCGCATCGCGCTGGAGAGGCAGCAGAAGGATCTCGATGAGGCGCGCAGGCGGGAGGGCGCAGACACTGGGCGAGCGGCCGCTGCGGTCCCCACGGGGCCGCGGGCGATGCGGCAGGAGACGCCCAAGGCATCGCGGGACGGGCGCGGCAGAGAAGCGGCGGCCGACAAGGCCGACAAGGCCGACAAGGCCGACAGGCAAGCGGCGCCGGACGCCGAGGCGGCGCTGGTCCGCACGCGCTACATGGGCGCGGCGCAGAAGCAGTCGACCTTCTCGGCGCAGAAGAAGCGCAAGCGCACGACGGAGAAGAAGTTCAACTTTGAGTGGAACGAGGACGAGGACACGAGCCGCGACTACAACCCCATCTACCAGCAGCGCGCCGAGGCGCATTTCTTCGGCCGCGGCAAGCTGGGCGGCTTCACCGACGACGCCAGCGCGCGCAGCGCGCAGCACTTTGTCGCGGCGCTGGCCGAGGCCGACCCCGAGTCCGGCCGCGCGCGCGCCGAGGCCGTCCTGGCCATGGAGCGCCGGCGCCGCGAGGACGGCTCGCGGGCGCAGCTCGACAAGCACTGGAGCGAGAAGAAGCTCGAGCACATGCGCGAGCGCGACTGGCGCATCTTCAAGGAGGACTTCAACATTGCCACAAAGGGCGGCGCGATCCCGAATCCCATGCGCACGTGGGACGAGGCGGGCCTGCCCGACTCGCTCATGCGCATCGTCGAGCGCGCGGGGTACACGGAGCCGTCGGCCATCCAGCGCGCGGCCATCCCCATCGCCCTGCAGTGCCGCGACCTGATTGGCGTCGCCGTCACGGGGTCGGGTAAAACGGCCGCCTTTGTGCTGCCGCTGCTCGTCTACATCAGCCAGCTGCCGCCGCTGGGCCCCGCGAACCGCAACGACGGGCCGTACGCCCTGATCCTCGCGCCGACGCGCGAGCTGGCCCAGCAGATTGACGTCGAGGCCAGGAAGTTTGCCGCCCCGCTCGGCTTCCGCACCGCCGTCATCGTCGGCGGCCACAGCATCGAGGAGCAGGCCTTCCAGATGCGCGACGGCGTCGAGATCATCATCGCGACGCCCGGCCGGCTCGTCGACTGCATCGAGCGCCGCGTGCTGGTGCTCTCGCAGTGCGCCTACGTCATCATGGACGAGGCCGACCGCATGATCGACATGGGCTTCGAGGAGCCCGTCAACAAGATCCTCGACGCCCTGCCCGTCGGCAACGAGAAGCCCGACGACGACCGCGCAGAGGACCCGGACGCCATGAAGCGCGGCCTCTACCGCCAGACGATGATGTACACAGCCACCATGCCCACCGCCGTCGAGCGCATCGCGCGCAAGTACCTGCGCCGCCCGGCCCTCGTCACAATCGGCAACGCCGGCGAGGCCGTCGAGACGGTCGAGCAGCGCGTCGAGTTTGTGCCCGGCGAAGACAAGCGCAAGAAACGCCTCGCCGAGCTCCTCTCCTCGGGCGCCTTTGCACCGCCCATCATCGTCTTTGTCAACATCAAACGCAACTGCGACGCCGTCGCCCGCGACATCAAACACATGGGCTTCTCCGCCGTCACCCTGCACGGCTCCAAAACCCAGGACCAGCGCGAGGCCGCCCTGCAAGCCCTCCGCGACGCGCGCGCAGACGTCCTCGTCGCCACCGACCTCGCAGGCCGCGGTATCGATGTCCCCGACGTGAGTCTCGTCGTGAACTTCAACATGGCGACTAGCATCGAGAGCTACACGCATCGCATTGGCCGTACGGGACGCGCGGGTAAGAGCGGTGTTGCGGTTACGTTTCTGGGGAATGAGGACACCGATCTCTTTTACGATCTCAAGCAGATGCTGAGTAAGAGCGAGATTAGCAAGGTGCCCGAGGAGTTGAGGAAACACGAGGCTGCGCAGCAGAAGGGGAGGAGGAAGGAGGGGAAGAGTGTGTTGACGTAGGAGGGGAAGAGTGTGTTGACGTGGGAGGAAAAGAGTGTGTTGAAGTGGGAGGGAAAGAGTGTGTTTACGTGGGAGGGGGCGGATAATTGAATAAATGAATTGAACGGAATCGATCAACGTCCCATGGCCGGTAAGAGGAGAGAAAGAGCATAGCATTCGCCCTGTCGCGTACTTGTATTCCCTTCCTGCCTCGCTGCCTCTCCTCGCTGCCTCTCCTCCCTTACCTGGTGCAGAGTAGAGTAGAGAATACAGTACAGACGCACAGCCAAATCACGCAGTCAGACATGTCTTGCGTACCTCGTCGTCACACCGAACTCACCTCTCCCAACTCACCTCCCCAACTCACCTCCCCCTCCCCCTCCCTGGCAATACATGCTCGGCCTCTTAACCCGCACACCAACCACCCGCCCATCCGCCGACACGAAACGCGTCGCCCAAACCCCCTCAGCACGAGACCCGCGACCTCGCCGCAACACGCCGCTGCGGCCGCGTACGACCTCGCACAGCACGCCAAGCTTACAACCAGTGCTGAGCCAGCCAGGCCGCGCCAGCCGGGCTGCGCGCGATCGTGCGCGGCCATCGGCGCTGCGACTTTTGTGCGCCGCGCCTGGTCGGCGGGTCGGCGTGTCGAGAGCGCGGTTGCGCTGCGAAGTGGGAATTGGATTAGAGATCAGGGCCGGGATGGGGTGGCATTGGCCACGCGAGCGAGCACGTGCGCGGCCCAGTGCCGAGTGCGCGGGTCGAGTGCTTTGTACCTGTGGACGTCCTGCGTGGTGCTGGTTGCTGGCCTGAGTTGACGGTTGTGCGAGGGTGGTGGTGCGCTGTCTTGTTAGCACCGGAAGAGGCGTTGAGGTTTGTGCTGTCTGTCTCTCTGTCTCTCTGTCTGTCTGTCTGTGGTGGTGAGTGATCGTGATGGTGCACGGCAGAGACCGAGACATGCATGACATTAATTATTGCACTTCGTAACGCGCAGAAGCCCACCACAGGGCAGTCGTGCAATGCTCGGCCCGTCTCGCAGCCTCAGCGACATAGGGCTCGCCGTTCCGAGCGCGCAGAAGACGGTGGTGGATCGCCTCGCTTGCGTGCAGCAACTTAGCCGGGACAGGAAGGCACGAGCCCAAGGCATATTCCTTCGCCTGGACCTGCATTTTCATCCCGCGCAGAAGAATCCAAGGGATTTGGAACACTTGGTGATGGCGAACAGACGCTGTAGATACAAGGGCGGTCTTGCTGAGACAAGAGCGCTGTGCCTGGCTGATTTGGGCGTCGTACCATGCGGTCCGAGACGCTTTTGGGCGCTGCTGATGCAACCGAGGGTGCTGAGCGTCGCACGGCTCTCGTACCGTGTCGTTCGGGAGGTGGAGACTCGAGGTCGGATCGCAGCATGAGAGTAATCCTTCCATTAATCTTCGCGGCCTCGACCATTGGTGGTGGACCGTCAGGGTGGAGTGCAAGGCAAGCAATGTACCTGCGTGGTGGATGGAGGATGCTGCATCATCGGCAATGAGTCCGTCGCCGCTGGCAACAAGTTTGTCGCTGCTGGCAATAAGTCTGTCGCTGCTGGCAAGAAGTCTGTCGCTGCTGGCAATAAGCCTGTCGCTGCTGGCAATAAGCCTGTCGCTGCTAATAGCCTTCTCACGTTGACTGTCGGAGAGATTCCGGCGTCAGCCGGCAGCCTTTCGAGGATCGACTCTTTGTTAACGGCTCTGCTGGGGTGGTGCAGTAGATTGCGTCTTTGGTAATTATTATTGTTCGTACGGAGCGACCGCAAGCTCCGACGATTCTCCGCAATACTTCGCCGACGCGGGTGCCGGTCGTGAAATGGCACCCAGGACTCGAGCAAAGACGTCTGATGCAAGGTAGCGCGACAGCATGAAACTCACATCTCACTATCAAGATGAAGCATGAAGCGCGAGTCGTGAGTGATGAGGCGCGAGCACACGCCTCGTCTATCGCTCGAGCCTACTCAGCCTTGAATGATAGATAACAAGGGCGTGCACGGGCTGGCGTCTTCGAGAACCGTGGAGCAGGCGCCACAAGACGCAACGAGGCTCGAAATCGCAGGTCCCAGTGGGTGTGGCACGCGTGAAGACGCCAGTCCACACGCAATTCGTGGGTGACAGTTGACGTTCTATGGTTCGCTATCGGCGCACGCCGCACGACGCTGCGCTGATGACAGTGGAGGCACTGAGCCTGGCGGGACCTGCTTGGACCCGACGCCTCCAAGACATTGGCCAACTGTCGCCATCGACCTTGCGCCTCCGGGGCCACAGAGCGGCCGTGTTGACCGGCGCTCTCGTGGGCGGCGTACACAGCAAGTGTCGCGCAGACTGGCAGTCCAACCCACTCCCCTCTCGTAGGCATGTCTCCAATAATGCGGAGCGTCTGCTGCCGTTGCATCACGGCCCAGTGACAGATAGGCAGGGCCCGCCGCCCTAGCCCAAATGCCCTCCCACCCCGGCGCCTAAGATCACTCAAGTCTTACCGTCTCGTAGACCCCTGGTCAGTTCCCCCCGGTCATTCCACTGGACTGTAAAATAGGTCTGGGTCCCTGCCATCTGGGCGTCAGCACGACAGACGACTTTATCTCCCAAGCCTTTCAACGAGAACGAGCGCGACGACCCACGCTGCACTGCAGCAACACTACCCGAGCTTGCAGCGCCCGCTGTTGTTCTCTTTGGCTCACATCCGGACTTGCTGCTGTCATCCACAATGGTCGTCGACGACGACATGTACGGCACCGAAAAGAGCTTTGGAAGGGGATCGCAAAACTCAGATTACTATGGCGAGAGCTCCGCGCGTCGAGGCGGGATAGCTATGAGGGTGCTGGACAGTTTCAAGAGGGATCCCAACTCGGTTTTGCCGCTGAAAGGAGGCTCGGGCGTCGATGGAACCGTCTACGATGTCGAGCAGGCGGCGGCGAACACGGCGAGCTCACCACTGGCACGGAAGCTAAAAGGCCGTCACTTGCAGATGATTGCGATCGGAGGCTCAATAGGTATGCACTTTGACTACGCGAGTCACGATGCACTGTTAAACTTCTGTCAGGTACGGGTCTCTTCGTCGGTTCGGGTCAGGCACTAGCCAATGGTGGGCCAGCAGCGCTAGTGATAGCGTACTGCTTGGTTGGTATCATGCTGTACTGCACCGTCCATGCCCTGGGTGAGATGGCAGTCTTGTTCCCCGTTGCTGGTTCCTTCTCGGCCTACTCGACTCGCTTCATCGACCCGGCGTGGGGGTTTGCCATGGGATGGAACTATGCTCTGCAATGGCTCGTCGTCCTGCCGCTTGAAATCGTTGCTGCGACTTTCACTATCGAGTACTGGACCAAGGACGACCACATCATCGACAACAACATCTACGTTACCATCTTCTTAGTCCTCATCGTCATCATCAACCTGTTTGGTGTCAAAGGGTACGGCGAGGCTGAGTTCGTCTTTGCCATCATCAAGATCACTGCCGTGATTGGGTTCATCATCCTCGGTATCATCATCAACATCGGTGGCGGACCAGATGGGGGCTACATCGGTGGCAAGTTCTGGCGCGACCCAGGGCCTTTCAACAAGCAGAACGGTTTCAAGGGCGTTTGCAGTGTCTTCGTGAACGCTGCCTTTGCCTTCTCCGGAACCGAGCTGGTTGGCCTGGCAGCAGCAGAAACCGCCAATCCTCGCAAGTCTCTTCCTACCGCTGTCAAGCAGGTCTTCTGGCGAATCTCCCTGTTCTACATTGTCTCGCTCACAGTCGTTGGTCTGATTGTATCGCAAGACAACCCGAACCTTCTGCAAAATAAGAATGGCGTCAACGCAGTCGCGTCTCCGTTCGTCATCGCAATCGAAAACGCCGGCATCCAAGGTCTTCCCTCCGTCTTCAACGCAGTCATCATGATCGCCGTGCTCTCCGTCGGCAACTCCTCCATCTACGGTTCCTCCCGCACCCTCGCCGCGCTCGCAGAGCAACACCAAGCGCCCAGGATCTTCGCATACATCGACCGCCAAGGCCGGCCTCTTGTCTCCATCGCCCTCGCGCTCAGCATCGGCCTCCTCGCCTACCTTGCCGGCACAGACGACAGCCTCCGCGACGACGTCTTCAACTGGCTTCTCGCCCTCTCCGCCCTCTCCTCTGTCTTCACCTGGCTCTCCATCTGCCTGTCGCACATCCGCTTCCGCAAGGGCTGGCGCGTGCAGGGCCACAGCCTCTCCGAGCTCGCCTTCCTCTCCCAGCCGGGGCTGATCGGGTCGTACATCGGGCTCCTCCTCAACGCGGTCGTGCTCATCGCGCAGTTCTGGGTCGCCTTTGCGCCGCTGGGCGAATACAGAGATCTGTCCACGAGCGTGCGGCTGCAGCGCTTCTTCAGCGTATACCTCGCGCTCCCCGTCACCATCGCCTTCTACATCCCGTACAAGCTGTACTACCGCACGAGCGTGGTGCGCAGCCACAACATGGATCTGCACACGGGCATTCGCGAGCTGAACATCGAGGTACTGATCGAGGAGGAGCGCGAGGAGCGCAAGAAGTGGCCGCGTTGGAAGAAGTTGTACAAATTCATGTGCTGACAGCCGCGAGCGCGTGCTCTTCCGCAGCGCCTCGGCGCAGTCTGTTCCTTGCAGCGTTCTCGCATCGCATTTCGTTTATCCGCGCCGGAGTTGATACCAGGCGGCATGCTCCCCGCATCGCGCAGCCTTTGCACGTTTTCTGTTGTACGCATTACTAGAGCAAGGAAAGTGTAGATAGGGAGAGACTAGGCGCAGCATTGGAATGGTAATGAAGCAGCTTCGACATTGCACATGCAGCATATACAGCATATACAAAGATGGCATTGCCCTAACGCGTCTTCCAACTCCCGACCGTTGCTCGTGATGCTGGCTCGCTAAAGCCCCGCCGACCGCGCCGAACCGCAAAAAGCAACGCGTTCCCGAATCGCCCTCGTCGAGGCTCGGACTGCAAAAAGAGGTCTTGCCCGGAATCGAACCGGGGTTGCCGGAAGATACTGAGGTGATCAGAATCCGGAGTGATAACCGCTACCTATTAGGAATTAGTTATCTCGTTGGATTGAGGAGATCAGGGCTTGCTTACACTACAAAACCATTGTGTTGTTTCATGGGATGCGTCAGAAATAGTATTAATATATTTACAATTAAAAATTAAATTCGTGGCATTTGTTGCTGTTTTCAGACCCCGGTGGCCACTCCAGATCCTTTTCGCTGGCGCGGGGCAAGCAGACTAGAACCGAGGATTCGGGAACACGAATGCTAGTCGAACATCTATAGTTGTTGTGTAGCTTTGAATGTTTCCCTTTCCCATCGTGGGAGCTCTAAAGCAAGAGCGAAAACACCAGTGTAGTTGACCACACCAAGTCTGCATCGATGTCGAGCTGTGGCTTCAAGGATAACCACTGCAACATTCGACGGAGTGAAGTGTGTCAAAGATGTAGTTCAGGACTCGGAACCTGGACATCGACACGCTTGAAAACGTGGATATCGCTTGGCGTAAAATGTAAAGCAGTGCTGTTGTGATGGAGAGAAAGCGTCAGAGTGGAATCCAGGCCTTATCGGGACACTTCGGCAAAGTACGATTTCTGGACCAGTGTGTGTCGGCTGCGAAGTTGGATTTCTCTCTGTGAAGTAGACGCGGGAGGACCTGGGGGTTTAGATAGGGGATAGCACTCTTTAATGTAAAGAAAATCCGGCTGCGATGGGGAAAGTGCGACTCTGATTACGTTGATATGGGCCGACTGCAGATAGTCTTTGACTCGTGTTTGGACTTCAACAAGCCTATTGAAGCATCCAAGGTTGATTGCGGCTCCATTTCGAATCGAGCCTTTCAAGACGATGCAAATTTCATGAAACCGAGTTGCATTGTGTGGTCGAGTAACATCACTTTGATGTGTCTTGAAGTGTGAATTATATGTAGTGCCCTTCATGATTATGTGCCCAATCAATATAAGTCTTGCGCTGGAAGTGGTGTTCTTTTCTTTCTTCTCCTCGTTTCAATGACCACCCAAGTCACGTAGAAATTCGATCTGACACTACACAAGGTCTAGTCTTTATCATGGGGCTGACGATGGGTTGCAGACGTTATGCATCCGACCCATTACTGCCTTCTTCAAATCCAATGCTCGATTGATGCTTGCGTTCGCAATGGTCATCCTGAGACGGCCGCGCCCATGCACAAATCCGACAGCGCGGTATACACCGCTACCATCCCAATAAGAAACACTGAATTGTCAAGCGTGACGGGCGAATACTTACTTCGCTTGCTAAAGGCATACACAACGTACATGGCTTATCTACAACTCGACCTGCTCATCGTTCGTGTGCGATGCCTTCCTCTTTGGCTCCATCTTGGAAGCCTGAATGATTAGTCTCCTGTAGTCGAGAACGGCCTGCTCCAGCTCTTTCCTCTTGAGCGCCTCGTGGTCTGAGTGCGCGACAAAGATGTTGCCGGGTCCGTACAGATACCGCCTGTGGTCCCCCTCGAGGTTGGGCACATCGGTGCCGTAGTTGACAGTCAGCTTTTCGAAGCCCTCGATGTCGCAGTCAATGTCAACTGGGCCGTATCCATTGCCACTCCAATCAAACTCCAAATCCCCACCCTGCTTTTGTGCGCGAGCCTTGACCTCCTTCGTCGCGTTGAGGATGAGGCCCTGGACGATCTTCGGTGTACCGGCCGCAAGACGTGTCGCAATCTTTGCGCTTGCTGTCTCGGCAACAACGTTGGCTGCTACACCGCCCTGGATGCGACCGAAGTTCATCGTGGTGTTGCCGTACTTCTCGCTCCAGGGCAGATGCTGCCTGAGCTCGAGCAACGCACTCAACGTCTCAGCCAAAATATCATTGGCGCTCACACCAAGCCATGGGTAGCCAGAGTGTGCGGCCCTGCCTGTGGCATGAATCTCAAAGCCCAGAATGCCCTTGTGTCCGCAGACCAGCTTGCCCTCGGTAGGCTCCCCAAAGATGACAATGTCATACTGAGGACGCTCCTCCCAGGCGCTGAAAGCCTTCATCCCCTCGCCGCCAGTTTCTTCTCCCACAACGAAGAGCAGCGAGATATCGTCGCGCAGCCACTTTGCTTCACCATCTTTGGCGAGACCCTTCACAGCCAAAATCTGCGCTGCGACACTAGCCTTTGCATCGACACTACCACGACCACCGATGATATCGGTGGTCTTGTTGTAATAATATGGCCAGAACGGGGGAACGGTATCGATGTGCGAGGAGAGGAGGATGGTGGTATCGCGCTTGCTGCCATACGCCAACAGGTTGTAGCGGTCTTTCGCGACCTTCTGCTTCTCTACGGTGAAGCCACTGTCTTTGAGGTACGATGCTAGCCAGGTGCCTACTTCGAGCTCATTGTCACTTATTGACTCGATTTCAACCAGCTTCTTGTGCAGTGACAGCAGCTCCTCTGAAGTTGAGTGGTCAAGCGTAGTGACGTCTGCGGAAGCTGGCTGCAGGCTCGCTGCATAGCTTCCGACGGCCAGCGACAGCAAAGACAGGTTCTGGAGAAGCATCTCGAAGGGCGGGGAGGCTGCGGCGCTTCAATTGAGTGGTGAAGACTGGAGGAGGGGAGCTGTAGATGTCGGTGCTTAAGCTCAAGCTTTGATCGCTTCGGCATGACGAGCGCCGAGCTCGCAAGTCCGTGACCTGCCTCCTTCGATCAGACAATCAACACCAACAACACACACATATTTCGACATTGTGTATCGCCTCGAAAAATCTCATTATACGATCTGAGGAAAAGGCAGAAGATCACCAGCATTCGCTTGATCAGTCACGCTCAGGACTGCACCCACGTTCGGACCGAACCATCTTCAGCCGCCGAGCAGTGTCGTCTACTGGCAATCCATTTCCACAGGCATGCCGTCCTTGTGCTTAATAGACGGAGGGCTCACAAGTCCTGTGGGGGAGTCGTCAGGAACTGCGGGGAGCGGCATAACAGCCGTCAGTTTAGGGGCAGCCTGCCAGGGGCTGTCCTCACAGGTCCATGTTTATGACATGTGCTTCTCTGCATTGCAAGTCAAACGTGGCTGATGGTATCGTAAGCATATGAGTAGATTACTCTGCGCCTACGACACAGCCCGCATCTACAACCTCTATCCCTGTGAAAGCATTGCTTACAGTCAGGGCTGAGGCCGTCACCACCGGTTGCCACCGTTAGCAGCCTCATAGAAAGCAAACCTCTTCCTCAGGCGACTCAAATAGTCTGTTCAGCCTGCCAAGTGCCGGTCAAAGTGCAATGGTGACGAGGCCTGTGAGTATCTCATGGCTTAGACGACGGCGGCGGCAAACTTGCCTCAGAAGAGTATGGTGGCGCCCGTAGACTCAAGAAGGACCTAACAACGTTTGGGCGATGCTGCGACGACAGGAGACAACAGGCCAATCACAATGAGTCTCCCAGAACGCGTAGGCATTCAGTCACGCTCATGATCCACTTGAGGAATCTCGATTTCCCCCTTGCACTTGGCATACCAGAAAACAGGCGCTGAGATTGATAATGAACAGGATTAATTTTATATGTTCGAACACGGCAGGAGCCGGATCGCCGTTGTGGGACCGGAACCTGATACCGCGAGCCGCGTGCGCTTTTGCCTCCACATCACCATGGACGACCAACATGCTCAGAGGTATTCGTCAATGCAAAATATGAGTATGCATGGTAGAACTGCAATTTTGGTACCCTTTTGCATGCATCCTGCAGCTTTCGCTGTACAGACGCAGCACTTTGCTTGACGGAGCTACCGAAACTCTATTTGCCTAATAGGACGGCTCAAACGGCGGGAACACGCGCATGACACTGACATTGGGATACCCGCGTCTGAGGTATACTGATTCGTCATTCGAGAATGCTTTGTCTAGCATTAACCCTGATGGCGGAGGCACTCTCCCGAATAACCCTCCCCGAGCCCCCGCCGATCTGACTACAGACTTGTATCAATCTCACCCGCAGACGAAGACATGAACGAAGACCAATGGGTGTCATTCACCGTGTTGTGCGTCAGAACGATGGGAGCCAGGAGGTACTGCAACACTCTCTCGTATATTGGAGCGACCTTCCGCTGACACGAACTGCAGTTCCCACCAGACTTTCTTGCGGAAACACGTCAACCGGAGATGATTATTGGCAACATTGCTGTCCAATTGATCGGTTCTCTGTTCTATTTCGCAAGGGCGTACTCTCGAGCCGCCATTACCAAAGCATGGCGGGCGGAGGACTACGTTCTTACTCTAGCTTGGGTAAGTCACATCAAGGCCTTGAACATGTCCGAACTCACGCTCAGCAGGTCTTCTGCACCGGGTACAGCGTCTGCCAGTATGGTCAGATCGACAATGGTTTTGGACGCCATGTCATCGCCACAATCATGGAGAATCCCCAGGCCCTGGTCACATCGCAGAAGTACGCGTATGCGGCACAGATCATACTCTCTCCGGCACTTGCGCTCTCGAAAATGAGCATTTGTCTCACATACCTGCGCATCTTCTACGTGGACAAGCATAGCCGCTACATGATGCAAGCACTGTTGGTCCTTCTCGTACTTTTGACGTTCCCGTTCATGTTTGCGAACGCCTTCCAATGCCGTCCGATTGAGGTGTACTGGACCGAGGGGCGCCCGGCCGGGAAATGCAGTCGCGATCTCTCAAGATTCTTCCTAACTGGGTCCCTCAACATCTTCGCCGACGTTGCGCTCATAGGCATTGTGCTGCCTCGTATTCTCGAGTTACAGCTGCATAAACGACAGAAGTGGGCCTTGACCGGCATAGTGCTTCTTGGCTCGCTCTCTGTCGTCGCTGGCATAGTCCGCACAGTGCGGCTGGGCACGTTGTTCTTAATGCCGGATTTCGAACCAAGCTGGGACTCGTACGATGTGTCGATCTGGACATCAACCGAGATCTATGTCAGTCTTTTTTGCGCTTCGGCGCCAGGTGTGAAGCCTGTTGTGGTCAAGATCTTACCCAAGATACTTGGATCATCTTTCTCCAGAGGTCGCACGCGAGCGACAGGAGGCACAAGGCAAGGGGGTACTGTCATCGAACTTGGCCTTGGATCCAAATGGAAGAGGACAACGATCGGCAGCACACGCACGCACAACAGCCGGCTGAGTGAAGCAGCACTAGCGACTGCTGATGGGTCATATACGGAAGTTGGAAGCGATGTAGATGCGCGCAGTCTGGCTGAAAGGAGCGATAAGCCGACCAGCGATGGCGGAAGCAGTCTGGGCGGCCACGTCCGCAAGACGAGCGAGATAACGATACACACTCGTGTCATGTAGGAACAATCCAATTCCGTAACGTCCAAACCTGCAACGCTTTCTCAAGGCCACACATTCTTCAGTGCCTCCTCCATTCGATGATCAGGTAAGGAGCAATGCGCTGGTAATGTTTTGGTGTATTTGTACGCACGGCGACAAACATGAACGCGAGCACCAGTCAAAACCCCCAGCACCTCTTCGCATCGAACAGGGCTATCATCCGACACACTCACACGCAAACACCGGTGTCTTGCATATGGGCCGTTATTAGGCAGTCTGACATGACCTTAAACAAGCTGGGACATGCAATGACTGAGACAAGGTGGGCTCTCTTTGTTCACGCAATCTACAAAATTACGCACGCTGCCCGTGGATACCATCAATCCCTATGGCATACTACAAGCCGTACCAACAGCTTTGCCCCCTTGATTTCTCCGCAATAACCCCCTGTCCAGCATATCGATTAGCCGCTGCCCTTCACCGTGTACCACACTTTGGCCACTTATCATAGGCTGCCTCAGTCGCGGGTGTACAGCACCTGCAATATTTATTAAGCCCAACAGTCACGTTGACAGCATGGCCGACGACGCTACTTCGCACCCTAGCCGCTCCATCGTATATCATGAATGGTCCCCTACCGAGCGAACCCGGCTACAGGAACTAACTGATTGCTTCGACGAGCTGATCGAAATGGACGATGCACAGCTCAGCAGACTACGCGATGTTCGCATAGACCAAGACCTCCAGCTGCGGGAATTGACCGAACAAGAGACATTTCGTGCTGTGTATCGCGGTCTAAAGGACGACTATCAGGCGGTCGTGTCAGGGCCGCCTCAAGATGTGCCGTCAGGCCATTATACGGCATACGCCTAGACACACCTCGTGCTGAGACGGAGCACCTGTCTAGTACTGAGCACGAGCGTCTCAACACGGCGGCTCAAGCGCTCGTGCGCGCGAACCTGGGGACGTGCGGGTATGAGGTGATGAGGGGAACGCGCGAGCTTTTCGAGATGGTGGAGTGTGCTCGTGTTGCGCTCCGCGAGGACTGGGTTTTTGGCGGTGCGAGATGGTGATGGAATGGAGACGTGGGAGGGGTAATGGTATGTTTTTTTTAAGAGTGGGCTGGGTGATTGCTGACTTTGGTTGAGTCCCGCGTGAGATATTTATCGACTTATAGGCCAATGAGCTTGCGTGTCACTTCCAAGGTCTTTTTATATATTGACATCAGAGTTCCTTTATATACACCGACAACAATATCACGCCAGCTCAGGTCGTCAATGGCCTCATACGTGCCTTGGGTCGTGTCTCTATCCACCACACTATCTCGACATTGTGGACGAGCAATGGAGGATGGTTTTCACTGTCAGTGCGATCACCTTAGAATTGTGTGCAGAAGACCGTCGAACTCGACATTATGAGCGAGTAGTGGATGCCATTGTGCTCGGTCAGCACGAGACAGTCCACGATCAATGGAGACTCAGACATGGCTCTCACCACAACATGCGATACTTTTAAGAAAGACTCCCTTGAATATCCCATCACTCATCCGGTCATCCCACGCAACAACACACCCATAGTCTCTCGCCAAACTATAACTTGTCTCCGAAATGGTTTTGTTTTCCTCCACCAAGAAGATCCCACACGAGGAGGCTCTCTCCCACACACCCGCACAAGTCCAGCTCTTGCCCGACACAGCTCGGCCCTCAGTGCGGCACGACTCGCTCTCCCCAAGCGCCGGTGCTGCGCAGGACGAGTACACACACCCAGCCACCGACGCGCACGGCCACGGCATCTGGGTGTGCTGCTGCGGGCACGACAACACGCTCGTGCACCGCGCAGGCGCACATCCCTTCTGCAAGCTGGCCTGCGGAAAGTGCGCACACATCCTATGCCAGCACTGCCTGACGAGCGCCATCGTGACGCCGCTCAGCGATGCGCGCCGCGCTGCCATGGCGGCACTGGAGCTGCCCAAGCTGCGCGGCATCGTCGAGACGCTGTTCCAGGTCTGCCCGCACTGCGGGCTGTCGTTCCAGGCGCAGATGTGCGCGCCGGATCACAGTGGCGAGCGGCTGGTGTGGGCGCCTATTGTGTCGCACTCGCACTCTGAGCTGTGTGCGTGCGGTGCGGCGGCTAAGGCGGAGTGGTTGAAGTTTGTTGTCGGGGACGCGATGGCGTACTGTCTGCATCCTGCGTGGGCGCTGCATGCGCTTAAGAATACGCGGGTTGAAGAAGGGCTCCAGATGGGCCGGTTGGAGCCTGCTGGTTCTGTGCGGGAGGTGCCTGAGATGAAGGCGGAGGGCGCAGGGTGTCGTCGAGCGCGAGGTTCGGAGACGGTGTTGGGGCATTCGGATTCTCTTGCACAGTTCAAGGCTCGCCCGTTTAACAACACGCATCCGGATGGCCGTTCGCAACAGGAGGTCGAGCAGTCGTATCCCATCGACCTGTCCGTGCAGAATGCGAGCTCAGTCCGCCAGCCCCTTCGTCGACGACCGGAGAGGCTGGGGCTGGTGCAGCATCATGGTCTCAAGCGCTCTGGCGCGGTGCGCGGTGGCCGCACACCTCGTTCGGGGGCTCTTGACACGCCTCGTTCAGGTGCCATCAACACTTCTCGTTCGGCTGCCATCAACACGTCTCGTTCGGGTGCCATCAACACTTCTCGTTCGGCTGCCATCAACACTTCTCGTTCGGCTGCCATCAACACACCTCGCTCTGCCGTTACTCGGTACCCTCGCGCGGAAGCGCATGCGGAGGCTCCAATCCTTTCCCCCAGCGCACACTGCTCGCCCCCCAGGCGCTGGATGAGGAGCAGTGGCTGCGTGCGCAGCAGTTGATGCCAGGGGAGAAGATGTGAATCATATGAGCGGGGCGCCTGAAGGGGTTCTATGGCGTGGGATTACGATAGAATTAAGTTGGCAGATAAAAAAGGGGGGCAGGAGTATAGTTGCGGCAGGAAATATAGACTAAAATGTTTTCAAGGTTGGTGTATCCAAGTTGCTGTAATGTGGGGAGTAATAACCGGATTTAAATCCTCTAACGGGCAGTCTGCCTCACACTGCATCCGCGTGATCGATCGGTGGTATCTTGATGCTATTCTGCTCGGCGCTTGACGCGTTCATTGTAGTCACGCACCATTTCCGCAGCGCCTTGGAGATCCTCCTCCGGCAGCCAGTCGTGTCTGTCCTCGTATCCGTCCCACTTGACGAGATAGAGCTTGCGCCCGTGTTCGTCGAGGAAATGCTCGAAGATGGCCTCGACAACGTACTCTTCGGCGTCGTGGTCGTCTTTGGCGTCGTGGTCGTCTTTGGTGTCGTGGTCGTCTTTGGAGTCGTGGTCGTCTTTGGTGTCGTGGTCGTCTTCGACGTCGTGGTCGTCTTCGACGTCAGCTGCTGGCTCTTGCAGCATTAAATGGCCGGCTGGTGGAATGCTTTCTGTCCTGCGGCGCTTGCCGCGGTGTCCATCGCCGTCGTCCGAGTCGATTGACTGAGCGGCTTCGGATTGGACCGACTGAGCGTCTTGAAAGTGCACTGATTGACAGTCTTCAGATATGTCTGGCACTTCGAGATGGCCGCGTCGCTGCGCTGGTGACAGCGGTAGGGCGCTGTTGGCGACAAAGGCCGAGCGCATGAGATTGGGCGACACAGGTTGGGACATTCGGTCCTCGTCTGCGCTGACAGTCTCGTCCGTCTCCTCGAGCGGCGTCGACAGCGTCTGGTCTTGCTGCATCTCGCGAGGAGACGAGACCAGCCCGTCTCCTCCGCCTCGTCCGCCCCTCGCTCGCCGGCCAACCCTTCCTCTCGTTCGCCCTCGCCCTCGCCCGCGTCCCCGCGCCGTGGGCAGCGCCGAGTCGACGACCAACCCGCCCAGCATGCGGCTGCCTCGCCCGCGCCCACTGCCGGCGACGCGCGCGTTCGTGGCCATGCGGCGCCTGACCTGCTCCTCCGCTTCCACCCTGTCAGCCACGGCCTGCGCCTCAGCCTCGATGCGGAACTGCTCGTTCTCGAAGCGCTCCAGCTCGCGCGGGCTCACATAGTGCAGAATGCGGCTCGCGTCCACCGTCTGCACCGTCTGCACCGCAGTGCCGTCTCGGATCACCTCGACCAGGTAGAAGTTGCGCCCGATGCCGTCCTCGGTCTGGCGGCGCTCCAGGATGCGCGTGCGGGCGTCGGGCAAGGGGCAGTCGGAGGGCGCCGCGGGCGTGACTGCGACGGGCGCCTGGCGAAGATGCCAGATGTTGTCGTAGATGGCCGGCGGGGGCGCGTACGTCTCCCATTGCCACTACACGCGTCAGCATGAGAGCCACGCCACGCCGTACATGCACGCAGTCTTACAATCATCGTCCTGCCGCGACCGCGACCGCGACCGCGACCACGAGGACCTCTCGCCGACATGCTCGGCAACGTCGTGTGCGCGTTTCCAACAGCGCAGGCAGACAGAAGCTATGCGAGCGCCGTGACAACGACGAATTGCTGCTGTGTCGCGTCATGGCGAGTCATCGTGTGTGAAGACGCTTCGCGCGCGAAGTCCCGTGTTGACAATTCAGGCGCTGACATAATCACTTGACAGCCGTGACGTTTTAACTTTCACCTCCACACAGCATGCATGCATCCATCGCCACGGTTTGGCCTTGTTATACACCATCGCAGCCTGCAATGGCCCTCGATATAGCTCTGCACACGCCCACCTTGCTTCGCTGTGAAAACATTGCCTTGTCCTGGGCGCTGCTGTGTCGTGGTCATCTCGTAGCATCAACTTTATTTTGTACATCCCTACGCAGATCACGAACCAGCCCAGTCGTGTGTAAAGCTTAGCATTCACCTGCATGTCTGACTAATGTGTGGCACCCACTCACGGCCCAATCATCGCTCTTTCCTTCCGCTAGCTGCATCACCGCAGCATCACCGCAGCATCACCGCAGCATCACCGCAGCATCAGTCAGCGACATGGCGGTACGCCCAGCTCAGGGCACTCAAGAGGAGACTGATCGCAGAATGCAAGCCTTTCGAGCTTCCACCATCTCCCAGCCTTGAGCGTGACGCTCCTCGTTCAGTTCCTCGACTACAGCTCGCTCTAATCTAGTACCAGCCAACATGCCAGAGCCTTCTCTCGGCTGCCAGATTGCACCCCACTATGAGCGTGAACAGTGGCCGTACGGCAGCGACAGCGACAGCGACACTACTGGCACTGAGAGCGAGCCTGAGAGCCCACCGCAAGAGGGGCCCGTTAACGATGCATTGGCTATCGAGAAGGCAGAGACACAACACTCGCGTGGCATCACCCCGGCTCTGTCCAAGATCAACACCCAGCGATCGAGACGCAGGAGTAGTGCCGTCCCACAGCCTGCGGTTGGCTTTTGGCACTGGCAGATGGTAAGATCTGCTCAGGTTCAGATATCGTCAAGCTGACCCGCCAGGCTGGCGTGCGACTACATGTGCTCAAGCTGTGGCTTCGAACGAGTAAGCGATCACACGAGCTTCAAGAATGCCTAGACTGACCGTGTCCAGACCTCATCCTGGCAGTCGCCATCATGGCTCTCCTGTGCCTCTTCTGGGGCGCCCTATTCCGCCAAACCGACAACGTGAAGCACCTCAGGATCCTCGTGGTCGACTTCGACGGCCAAATCGCGCCATACACTGACGTGACTCCATTCGTTGGCCCTTTTGTCACCAGAGCGATCCACAATATGACAGCAGCAGGCGGCAGCATGCCGACGTACACCCTCATATCGCCCGAGGACTTTGACAACGACCCACTCAAAGTTCGAGAAGCCGTGTATGACATGCACGTCTGGGCTGCAGTAGTCATCAACGCCAATGCGACTGCGCTCTTGGACTCCGCCATCAGACAGGGCAACGCTAGCTACGATCCCGCTGGAGCGTGTCAGGTCATCTACAGCACAGCCCGTGACCAGACAGTAGCATCATCGGACATTGTCCCAAGCCTGACTACGCTCCAGAAACGTGTCGTCTCCACATTTGGTGCTTCATGGATCCTCCATCTCCAAGACGACTTGCCAAATCTCCGCATCAATGACGCGCCGCACGCATTGTCCCCTGGCATCGAATTCACAACCTACGACTTGCGTCCCTTTGGCCCGCCAATCGCCACACCCGCAGTCAGCATCGGCCTGATTTACCTGATCATCATCTCCTTCTTCAGCTTTACCTTCTTCCTGCCGATCCACATGAAGTACCTCTCGCCAAAGGGCCATCCACCGCTCCTCTTCCACCACCTCATCGCCTGGCGCTACATCGCCACCGTCATGAGCTACTTCTTCCTCTCCCTGGTATACAGCTTCGTCAGCCTGGCGTTCCTCATGCCCATGTCCAATCAGCCAGCAAGTCACGTCTGGCCAGCCAATAACGCCAATGCATACAGGCACGGTACATTCGTCGTGTACTGGATGGGCAACTGGGTGGGCATGATTGCGTTCGGCCTGGCGAGCGAGAACATGGCCATGCTGCTCGGCACGCCCTGGACCGCACTCTGGCTCATCTTCTGGGTCATCAGCAACGTCGCGACGGGCTTCTACGCGCTCGATCTCGCGCCAGGCTTCTACAAGTGGGGCTATGCGTGGCCAATGCACAACAGTAAGCCCCCAACTCCTGGTCCCTTCTGCAAGCTGAACCACTGACACAACGTAGTCGTTGAGCTCACACGCTCCACGCTGTTCGACCTCCAGCAATCCCATGTCGGCCGCAACTTCGGCGTCCTATTCGCGTGGGTCGCCATCGACACCCTCCTTTTCCCCGCGTGCTGCTACTTCATGCGCTGGAACACTGCGCGAGCGAAGCGCAACGCTGCAAAGGCCGAGGCGGATTGGCATGCGAAGATGGACAGAGCGCGGGCGGAGCCGAGTCTTATGGCACGCGTCACCACACTGGGCAGCCGCAGGGATGGCGGTGCAGGACGGGGGGAACGCGAAATGACGGCCTGAGACGCGACGTGCTGGTTTCAAACATGCTAATCACCTTGAACTACGAGTCGAACATAGCTGCATACAAACAATGGCGTAAATCCACCATTCAAACCACGCATGTTTGCCCGTCCCACCGAACCCGACCAAGCCGCGTGTCGTGACCCACTGTCCGCTGACGAAAGTCCTATGGCATCTCGAAGCACTCGGCACAGGGCCAGCTCTTCCACAGTGTAATAGTCTTCTTCGACACCAGTCGCAGACACACCCACCATCCGGGGGGACGCGGGCACCAGTTCTAACGCGCAACCCTGCCGCCCCCGCATTCCAGACGCGGCTCAGATGTCCATCACAGGCATTGAATAGATCCTCGTTTCAGTCGTCCAGGATATGACCGCGGGCGACAGTGCGTTGAATCGCGCACAGAGCGCGGCTGTTGCACGCCATCGCTACGGTTCCGGGCGTTGTGGATGCACTGGAGGATATATCTCGGTTCTCTTCCCGAATGCCGATGTGCGGGTGGTAGCTGGGAACCGTTCGTGCCGTGGACTTGTTAGGGGTTATTGTGACTGGTGTGATGCTGGAGGTGGAGATGGAGATGGAGGTGGAGATGGAGATGGAGATGGAGGTGGAGATGGAGATGGAGATGGAGGTGGAGGTGGAGGTGGAGATGGAGATGGAGATGGAGATGGAGATGGAGATGGAGA